TACGCAATGAAAAGACGATTTCTTTACGACAGTGGCCACTATTTTGATCTTTGGTATCATTTCCTTCGCATCCCATTGGACACGGCGTGTTTATCTATCGCTTTACAGCTGGTTGGAGGAGCTCCTTGGGGTAGCTAAGGTAGGCTTGGTTCAGGAAGAGCAAAGCTTGAATGGACCCTTGAAATTAGTTACTACTGAAGCGCATTTAAGCTAGACACCTAGCTAAGCCTCATGGAGCAAGAAAACTTAAGACTTGAGAAGAGAATGCTAAAATAAACTTAATAAAAAGCCTCCTCAGCTTAGGATAGAGGCCTTAAATTTTCTTGCTTCCCCTAACTAAGTCTAGGCTCTGATGAAGATGGGTTCATTAATTCACGCCGCAAATCTTCTTGAGTTGTCTCTGATGGACAGGTCACAATAAGGTCATTGGTAAGTTTCCTCAGGAAGGCAGGTAGGTATATCGCCTCCATTTCCAGGAATGTTGTCTACCTGGTTCAATTACTACTCAGAAATGGAAAATATGCTGCTGCATTTACCTTGTTCTGTCGACTTTCCTTGTCACTTCTTAAAAGACCCTGGTGATCAGGCACTGGCAATCTAGCCAATACCGGGAATAATCAATGGAGCACCTACATTCCGTCCGGGCTTCTGGATTGGGAATGACGATGCAGGGGCCAGGGTCTTGCAAGTCGGGACAGGGATTGTTTGGCCTTGGGCTGCATTTCAACGCATGAGCTTTTCCCTTGACTTGGCATACGAGCTCTTCCGGATCGCTTATAAAAACCCTGGTTACTCCGTACAAGAAATTATGTAACTAATTAGTTGAACTGTCTAGCGTACATCACGAGATTATACCCTTTAACAGCCGCCAAAGTTTAAGTTATTCATCCTTTTAGACTATTGAGTTCGGTGAAACACTGACAGCCGATTCCACGTGGGACTCATGCATCCGAGACATCCACCTTACTAGCGTTTCTTCTCAACGTGGAGCATAGACTCCTTATTAAATAATAATTCTTGGTCTTAATACTACGCATTGTCTTCGATCTGACACTCAATTCTCCATGTTATTGTGATCTACAAGCGTTCAAGCGGCACAGCTGTCAATTCAGCCTCATGTCCGTGCAACTCGACGTCATAACAATAAGGACCCTTGAGCTGCATTTTTGGTATAGGGTAGCGTTGTGTGCTCAGATCGAACTACAACTGGTCGCGTGACCTTGTTTATAGCCAGAAAAAGATTACAGGGTATTTCAGTAGTATGTCAGTTTGTTTATTTGTTTTTCGGATTGTTTGTAAAACGGTATTGCCGTGGTCACATTAGATCATGGCAATACAGACAGATATCAAGGAAATGGTCCGATCCAACTGGGTCGATACCTGATGCATGGTACTGGGCAAAAATAAGGGAATGCCATACTTTCATATGTCGTATTCTCTCGGTTTCGAAAGAACCATGAAAAGATCATACATGCTAGATGCTATAATGCTTGGACTGAGGGGCCAGGTTCGATCAATTTGTATATCTTGCTATCTCATATCCGCTGACATCACCACCCCTCGGACGTAGCTCTACGAACTCAGGCATAAGCAAGGGTATTGTCATGTCGAATCTTTCCGGGAATCCCAATGTTGACTTCTCCTCCTGCCACGGAAGGTCCTCTCACGATAATCTATGAATTTGTTAGCATGTCAAGGGATTTAAGTGCTGTAGTGGGTGACTTACGTGGCCTTCGATTTTCTCATCAGTAGTCTTGTGAGCGCCGGCGTCCTTGAGATATAGCTCGACACTGGTCAATGGTGGACCGAAGTGTGTCTTGGCATCAGCCGGGAGTCGATAGTCGTAGAGAGCGGTCTGGCAAATAGCTCCAGCCACCTTGGCTGCGGTTAAAGCGTACACAACCCTCGCCCCAGTAAAGATACGTAGATCCGACAAAACATTGGCCGGAAGGAGAGGGGTATCAGAACCTGCACGCTCTGCAACTAACACCAGACGAAGCTTGCCAGGTGTTGTGCCAAGGGCCGGGGCTGCGCCAGAAGAGAAACCAGAAAGCAAGTTGGAGGTGGCATGAACTCCCTCCAGGGCCAGAGAACGAGTTGCCATAACATGAGAGGCGTTGGCCAAAGAAGATGTCAGCCTGGACGTGGACTCCTCATGAGTCTTGAGAAGTGTCTCGGGACTAGCAACCAAAACAGTGGGAGCAACCCCCTGAGTTGCTAGAACCAGGTCTGGTGACTTGCCGGCGACCGAGTTCAGCGCAATGGAAGCATTCGAATAGAGAGCGCCAAGTGCAAGAACGAGTGTATAGACGTTGGCAAGAGAATCAGCGGGTAGAAAAAGATCCGATGGGTTGATGCGTTCCTTGGTTGGGATAGCAGCGAGTTGAGCAGAAATAGCAGAGACAAGGTTGGCTTGACTGAAGCGCACCATTTCCTCAACCTCGCCAGGCTCAGTCTGCCAAAAGGTGACAACATCGGATGGAGTCTTCGAGGGGTCAATAGTCGGGAGCTCGGTGCCGGCATGAGCGGGGGAGTCGCGAAGAATATCCTGCCAAGTAGCGACGTTGATGTTACCGCCAGTACCTTCAGGGATCTCATTCCAGTCCATGTGGCTACTCCCTTCGTCTGTGACCCAAATGAGTTGTCGAAGAGATGGGTAGGCCTGGATTACAGCATCGAAAGGGAATGCGCCAGGAGCGGTAATCAAAGTATCGGCGGCAGAGCGGCGTAACATAGAAACAAGCTCATCATTGGACACATCAAAAGGGATCAGGACCGTTGTGAGGTTTTGATAGAAGCTGCAGGCGAAAAGCGTTACCAAGAGTTCGACTGAGTTCGGCAGGTAAACGGCAACCCTAATACCACCAGTCTCGGCAATGTGCTGACCAATAAGATTAATCTGACGAGTGATATCATCTTGGGTTTATTAGCATTGTCCATTTTCGCTGACATGTCCCAACCATACCGAGCTTGTGATCCACAACGTTCTGGGAACCGAGGACAGTCAGAATCCTTCCTTTGGCCCCATTCTCGCCGCCCTCAGCCGCCCTCTTCCATATATCTCGCAAGTCGCCATCACGACCGCGAGACCACTTAGAAGCTCCAGTACCCTTCACATTAAGACCAGTATTCAGCGGCATGCCATGAGGAGCAGCCTGGGATCGGTAAATAGGACTTTCTCCTTCATTTCGGACTGAAGACGGGACGGCTTGGCGAGCTAGAAGCATGGGATGCACATCGGGATCGCGGGTAGAGATAACTCGATATGAGACCACGGCCAGTAGGAGGGTCACTAGACCAGTCGAATAAACGTTCCACTGGCCGAACAGGTTGGTGACGCCTGCGTCGAGGCTGTCAAAGACACCCATGATCGGTTGTGTGTCTCGCTTATCGTATGTTGCAATGCGACAATATATTCCGGGACTTTATAATGGTTTGGGCTCAGGCAAATCAGCCATGCACAGTTAAACGTCCTTCGCCTAGTGTGGACTTCGGGTGTAATGTTATAATGAAGGTCTCAGGTTTTGGGCGGGGAAGAGAATGAGGCGGCATTGATGGAATGGATGTGGGGAAAGCTCGGGGCTGAGCTGAGAGCTTCACGTCACTCTCTTGGCTGCCTCTGGCTACCTACCTATCCTCGGGGAGCAAGAAAACATCAGACCTTGATATAAGCTATCAAAGCAAAGTCAGCAAAATTAATATAAACTTGGCAAAGGCACCCTAAGCTTAGCAAAGATATCCTAAACTTAGGTAAGGTATGCTAAGTTACCCTAAGTCTTTTTGTCATTCAGGACCAAGGTCCCGAGTTTTATTCCCTCCCTACCTAGCCTATCTAGAGGACAGACAGGAGGCATGAAAAATCAGGACCTCTTTTCTAACATAGAAAATCTTTAGGATAGACTTAGTACATCTTTAGGATCCTTAGATATTTTAGGATATAACCTTAGGGTCTCAAGTCATCTTGCTTCCTGGTATAATGTTATTTTGCCTTCGCTCTACGCAACACGATCGATTAAACAAGGCAACGAACACACCGCAACGCGCTTATCAGAAGCGTACGCACTCATCCACTACATCAATACACAGTGACAATCATAAGGCATCAACATAAAACAAGGCGTTTTTTTAATCAGGACTCCTCAGTCCAGTCTGGTTATCTGTTCTACTACGGGAACTGAGCCCATGCATTCATGGTCCCGTCTTCAGAAGCCTCGTGACCCATTCATATCCCATGGAGTCAAAGCCTTCGTCGTGTCCTCCTGACTTGCAAAGAGCAAGAGCTTTTATTTTCCTTTCCATGCCGTGCCGCCCAAACCAAAATCCATAACCTGTGGGCGTCGCGCGGCAACGCTCGTGCTCTCCGATCTGTTTAGATATTAAAACAGACATAACCGTCCTGTTGACCATTAACCTTTGTTCCCTCCAGCTGTGCTGATTGCTCTCCCTCCGGTCCCCGTTCCCAACAGGGACCAGCGAGCAATTGGTGGCCAGAGAACCGAGAAATCCACTTTTGTCTATGTGTGTGCACGGCGAAAACATGACCCTCTATCGTGAATGCGTGAAAAATGCCCTTGGGGTAAAGGGGATAACCCCAGGTAGACGGCGGAAACATAATATTCGTAATGCTGTGTCAGATCTGTTGGCTCATGGGCCTAGATCCGTCTGCATCACAGCGTGCTGCCAACGTCTGAAAGCTCCCCACATCTCGGTCTAAGGGTATCAAGCGACGAGTACGCCGAAATCAAAGAAACGCAATCTATCAGATGCTTCGTGAAATCCCTGGACCGAACCCAATACTGCCTGTTGCCAGTAGCGATGGCATTCGTCTGCCACAGGTCATGGTGTCGCCGTGTCGTCCAAATGCAAGTCGTGCATGCAACCAGATAACATCGAGAAAAAAACATAAAAAGAAAATCGCAAAAGGGTGATGCTGCAAATTGCGTCTGCTGGCATCGTTCCACACCTCGTCAGGTGCGCATTTCTCAATGGTGTCGAGATGTTTACCACCAAGAAGACTGAGCTCCGGGGCCACTGGGGTTTCCATAACCACCACCTCCATAGCCACCGCCGCCGCTGTAGCCACCACCTCCGTAGCCGCCGGAGCCACCGAAACCGCCTCCACCATAGCCTGAGCCCTGGGAAGGAGCATTGAAGCCGCCGCCGCCGCCGTTGTTGCCGCCAAAGCCGCCACCACCACCGCCACCTCCGCCGAACTTACGGAAGTCACGTGTTGCACCACCACCACGGCCACCACCACCACGAGAACGACCACCACGACCACCGAAGGAAGACTCACGAGCAATGGTCTCGAGGAAAGCAGGAACCTCCTGGTTAGCTTCCTTCAGGAGATCCATAAGCTCCCGGACAATTCCACGGTTGCCTCGGTTGAAGAAAGCGGTCGCAATACCGGTGTTTCCGGCACGACCGGTTCGACCAATTCGGTGAACGTAATCATCAACATCAGTAGGAAGATCGTAGTTGATAACATGCAAAACATTAGGGATGTCAAGTCCTTAAAACGAATTAGTTCTTATTCTACTTTGGTATCTTGAGTATAAACTTACCTCGAGCAGCGACAGCGGTGGCGACCAAAATCGGGCATCGACCGTTGCGGAAAAACTCAAGAGCGCGCTCACGCTCACGCTGAGTACGATCACCGTGAATGGAAGTAGCTGGGAAGTTCTGATTGATGAGAAAATCCGAAAGCGAATCGGCCATACGCTTGGTCTCGACGAAAATCAGGGTCAGACCATTGGCGTTGGAGTGCAGAATATCCAGCAGAACGGAGCGCTTGTCGACATCCTCGACATACTCAACCTTTTGGGTAATGTTCTCGGAAGTAGAACCAACACGACCGACAGAAAGGAAGATATAATCCTTGAGGAAATCGCGGGCAAGCATCTGAATATCGCGGGGGAAGGTAGCCGAGAACATGAGAGTCTGACGGTCCTGAACCTGGGGCATGTCTTCACCCTCCACAATGCGGCGAATCTGGGGCTCGAAACCCATGTCAAGCATACGATCGGCCTCATCAAGGACCAGATACTTGATGTTTTGCAGGGAGATACGACCTCGCTCTATGAGATCGACCAATCGACCAGGAGTAGCAACAAGCAAATCGCAGCCACGCTCAATCTGTCGGAGCTGAGAACCAATATCGGCACCACCGTAGACAACGCAAGGTCGGACCCAAGATCGGTAAGCGAACTTTCGAGACTCTTCATAAATTTGCGAGACAAGTTCGCGTGTAGGGGCAAGAATCAAGGAGGTAGGGTAAGCCTTGCGCTGACGGCCGAACTGGCCAGCGGCATTAGCGGGCACGGGAGAAGGGCCGTTGATGAAGGCCTGAGAGAGAATGGGGAACAAGAAACCACCTGTCTTTCCGGAACCAGTCTGAGCACAGGCCATTAGATCACGACCACCCATAACGATGGGGATCGAGTACTTCTGGACTGGAGTGGGAACCTTGTAGTGAGCAAGCTCGATGTTGCGGCAAAGATGCTCATCCAGAGGAGGAGTGGTGAACTGGTGGACAGGCTCAGGAACCTCCTGACCAGAGGCCTCAACGGGAATGTCATCGTACTTCTCGAAGTTGATACCGGTGTGCTGCTTGGAAGGGTCATCGGGGGTACCAAAAAGCTCGCGCTCGACACGGGGGTTAGCCGGGCCAGGAACGTGCTTTCCATCGCGCCACTGGCCATCGCCAGAGCCGCGGGCAGTGTGACCACCACCGCCTCCAGAGTGACCATCCAAGTTGCCGCCACCGCCGCTGTAACCACCTCGACCGCCCCAGCCGCCCCGGCGATTGTTGTTGGTGTTGTTCTGATAGGTAGGAACGTCGTTGCCCCAGTTGGATTGACGGGCACCATAGTTTTGGCTGCGAGTTGTTAGTGACTGTTCATCAAGTTCATATAGATAAAAAGAAACACTTACTTAGCCCAGGCACTGTTGCCGAGACCATTGGGACCAGGTCCAGCAGGAGGAGGACCACCGTTCATAGCAGGAGGACCACCCTGAGGGGGGGCAGCCTGGGGAGGGCCACCCTGGCGGCGCATGTGAGGGGGGATGTAGGATCGTTGACCCTGAGGAGGGCCCTGTTGAGCGCCATCGTTGAGGGAGAGACCACCCATGTTGATTTGATCAGCCATGATGACAGTCGTGATTCGGATCAGAATAGAGGTAGAAAGATAGTTGAGTCGTAAAGACGCGTAAGAATCCGAAGCTGGCAAATAGCACTCTCAAATGCGAAAGAGAGTGATGGTGTTGTGAAATTCCCGTCCGAAGAAAAGACAGGAAAGACGAGAGAAAGAAACGGAAGACCAACGCTTCCAATAATTTCCCGAAATAGATTACTTTTGAGCACAAACAAATGTCAGTGCTATGCAATTATCCCTCGAAGAACACGCAGAATCTTCAAAGGAGAGACGAAGGAAAGACAGAGTCTTGAAAAATACCGCGGATGGAGGGGGGATGGAGGTTTGTGGGATAAAGGGTTTGTTGTGGGAGGAAGAGAAGAAAAGGGACAGAGTTGAGAAAAGAGAGAGAGAGGCGAAAGAAGAGTGGGAAAAAAAATTGGTTGATGTGATCAAATAGGCTTAGTGCGGGCATCTGTCGAGTTCAAGATTTTTGGAGGGGGTTGCTCTGCGGTGAAGGCGAGTGGGAGGATTTTAGAGAGAGAGAGGGTCAGGGAGGGCCGTGAGTGGGCGAGGCGAGCCTCAAGGTATCCGAGAAGTATCTTTTGGCCACCGCTCACGGCTAATGCAGCCAGTAAAGTTCGGAGTTTGGTGGAGAGACCTCGAAAGAGGCTTGAAGTGGCTGGGCAGTAAAACAGAAAAGTGACCAACCTGATACTTATGACGGAGAGCGGACTAGCCTAGCCGTAGACTTTTCTAAGTGGGCAAAAGAATTGTCCTGAATCGATCGCTGTTAATGGCGTAGACGCAGAATCGTGATGGCCCTGTGAAGCTTACCTACCTACTTATACAGTAGTCAAATGGCGGGCACTACTTGACTCTAATTTGTATTTTTTCGAAGCCCAAAGATTGCATAAACAGTAAGGGAGGCAAATGCAGAAGGGCAAAGAATTCAGGTGGAAGCACGCGCTGAGTAACTCGAGGCAAGGGGCAACACTTAGAAACCGTGGAACCTCTGGTACTTGACCAGTACCTCGATACTACCTAATGGAGGTAAGCCAGATTCTGGGGCGGGCTAACAGCCCAGATGGGCTGGGGCAAAGTGGGTTAATAGGGGACTACTGCCAAACACAGGCGATGACGATTGTCACCCAGTGGTAGGTTTATTTTGATGCCATGTGCTCCGTACCTGAAGTAGGTGAGTTTACTCTGATTGTCGAGTACGAGATGGTAACAGGACCGTGAGGTTAACAAAGGCCATGGGAAACACAGCTACATAACCGGCTATCAAGAGAAAGTGATACATGAAGAATTGACCGACCACTACTATGCATGTGGTAAATTGACTTGAGGCAGTGGTAACAATGTCGAAAGCCCTGCACTCTACCGGATCTGGTGTCAGAACTAGGACCTAACTACAATACTTGCGACTCGGTATGTCTCGGCAAATGTTGCTAGGGAACAATCAAACAGTTACGGACACCGCAAATGCGTCAGTTTTTGCGTTTGAACAATACTGATAAAGATTGCTAGAAAGACTGTGTAACACAGGAACATACAGGGATATGCAAGAACCCTGAGCTTGTCCCGTTGGCCCTGGTTTGGCTGCGTTGTAATAGTTAAATAGATCCTGTAAACTAATAAAGTAAGTTGGATCGTGGCAGCCTGAAAATCCCTGATGAGCGGGACACGAGCGATCTGACAACTAGGAACAATATAATTCAGTACCAGACATGCAGCTCACCTAACGTTGACAACTGGCGAGTATGATTTTATGATCTTATGTATATCTATATCTATCTTGTATAGAGTGTAAACAAAAGCGGAAGGATATCCAGCGAAAATGATACAATCAAGGTAAACTATAAGATAAAAGACACAGAAACGAGTTTAAAGGACTAGGAATAATTCGTCTTTTAGAACCTATCGCCTTCCTTAAAAACGGGCTACCAAGGTACATGCTTGTAAGTAAGATACCTCATGACGACAACTGTACTTCGTAGCAGCTTATGACCTTAGGTAAGGTTAGTACTGAGTACATTGTATCAAATCGGATGAGACCAGTATGTAAGTATCTGTCCGGACCAGGTTGGCATCATGCCGGAGATTCTCGAAATCTGGAAAGAATCTACTGCTCATTACGATCATCCCATGATGGCCGATTGCATAATGAAAATCCAGATGACTACTATAGCCCTTTATCCACGTGGACAGTAACACTGCCCTCCATACCGATTTTTCACCAGCCTCGCATGACGCTTGGAGCCAGGACCTGGGCTGGGGTGTAAGAGACTGAAATAGTAAGCCCACTGGCAGGACAGGGTTGCCTCTATGAATTGGATGTTTCTCGACCAACCTCCACGGTCGTGTTATCCTTGCTGGTTATGAGACATAATCTGGATATTGAGCACAAGATGCTGGGTGAACTGGACTAGACTAGCTCGTGCTGGATCTGTCGTATTATTTACCTTTTCAATGATCAAGATCAAGTAGAGCTATGTCCAAAGCACTATCAGTTGAATGACACTACTGTATGACTTCTACGGAACATGGCCGGATAGGGTTCTCACTCAGAGATATCAGTGTCAGACGCGGTTACATTTGCTTCATTGTGTCTCCCTATTCCGACGTCGAAATAAGATGTTATGAAGCAGTGATACTACGCGTGTAAGAAGTCAGTCATGATGCGAAAGCCTCGATCATGAAAACACAAGATACTTATGATCAAAGCATGTACAGAATTTACAACAAAACATGATTAATAAATACCGACATTTGTAGCTGTGGAAGGATCAAAAGCAATCTAATTACACTCCGGCCGACCTTCGAGTGTTGGAGGTAGGTACTGCTAGCAATAGAAATGCCTGAAACACCAGAGAGTTACTGGAGACACGATTGATATGTAGCATTCATGCCGAGATCGGTGGCCTGAGATAGACTAAACCCTGCTATAACGAAACGGCCCTCGATTCACGCTGACCCGGCTTCTGAACAAATCGTCTGGACGAAGCTGGGAAACCTTAATGATGCTAGTATTAGCCTCTAATACCCATTTAGTAGTACAAAGTCGAGTTTCCTTTAGTCTGTCGCTGGTCTCAAGCACATTTGACAACCTTGTCATCATCAAACTCTATGTCGACAATCCCATCGGCCTTGACCGCCTTCACTACCATACCCTTGAAGTCGATTGGTAGTCGGCGCTTCAGCTCGTCGGTGCACATTGTCAGAATCTTGATGCCCTGGTGGAGTGTGATATCGGGGTGATGGTGCTTATCGAGGATAGACAGGCAGTAGTATCTGTGATGTTACAAATCAGCACCAGTTCAGTTCCATTCACATAATTTGCCCTGAGAATATAGTCCTCGCAACAACGTACTGTGCGTATCCATGCGCAGCATAAGGAACATCTGCTAGCGACGCTAGATAGTCGAGCCAGTAGAGCGAGGGCTTGCCAGTGATGGGGTCAACACCACCCATGAGGAGGTTGACATTGTAGGGCTTTCGAGATCGCAGACTAGTGGCTAACTCTCCACGAACAAAGTGAGCCAGGCCAGACGGAGAAAGATCGGACTCGTTTCGCATCGAATAGAGCTGGGCATTTCGTTGAATGTATTCGGCAAATTGCACTGCGGAGTGAGCATTAGCTGTCGTCATCGCGGGGCCTGTCGACGTCAACCTGATTCAAGTACCTGTGTCGCCGGCCTCTCCAGAGAATGCGAGAAGTGTATGCTTGTTAAGAGCTCTGGTCTTGTCATCGGATGCCTTGAGGATGGTGGCGCCCCGCATCGCAGCCTTGGATGCTGCAATGATAGTGAAGTCCTTTCCAGTGATTCCCAAAAGCACCTCCCTGTTTATCAATGTTAGGAAAGTCTGGAGCAGTAGAGGCAGATTGTGGGGGGACCTACATGTTGACGATGATTTGAAATGTAGTGGAGGAAATGTCGATATGTGGTTGTGGAGGAGTTGTTCCAAGTAGTTGTTCAGCCTTCTTCAAGGTCCAGTAGTAGCAACCAAGCAAGCAAGCTCTCCTTAGGCTGTAGCGCTGCGCGTCAACACTTGCCCGGGAAGCTTTCCATACCACATTTGTTTCTGCCTCTCTCTACCGCCTGAAGCGGAAAAACCAGACCCACCTGAGAAGCTATGACTGGCCAGTTGAATGCTCAAGTGCCAATTAGATTTTCCGCGATCCACCGTCGCTCATCTTTTTTTTTCACTGAGTCTAGAAATTTATCTTCGAGACGGGTTCAAAAGTCGTGAACAGACAGCCAAGTTCACGACGCTGCCACAATGTCGTCCTTTTTTACGGTCCCAGGTGCACAGAAGAAGCGCAAGCGTATTGAGACGTCAGAGCAACCAAAGAAAAGAGTTGCGCCCTCAAAACCTGCTGGCAAGACAAATTCGAAGAATGCCGGCCCCACCAAAAAGCGAGTCGAGCGAGACGACGAGTCTATCTCTGGGAGCGATTCTGACGATGACGAGAGCCACGATAGCGCCTCGGTCGCGAGCGACGTGGAAATGACAGACAACGAGTCTGATGATGAGGAGGGTGAAACTGCCGCTGAGCGAAGACGGCGGCTAGCAGAGCGGTACCTCGAGAACATCAAGGAGCACACGGACGAAACTGGTTTTGATGCTGCCGACATTGACCGAGATCTGATTGCCGAGCGACTGCAGGAGGATGTAGCAGAGGGCAAAGGTCGAGTATATCGCCAATTGGCCTCGGAATTAGGATTTGACAAAGCTTCGCGCACTTTCTTCCGAAGCAACACCAACACTGTCACTGCCATCGCTATATGCGCCCCCTACATTTACACCACGACGAAGGATCTACATCTACAGAAATGGAAGACCCAAGATCTCCCACAACACCAGTACCCACAGACAACCAAGCGGAAGCCAAAAAAGCCCCCAGCACCTCCGAGGAAGCGGCCTGTGCTGGAGGCGTGGTTAAAGGGAAATACGACAAAGTCAAAAGACAAGAACTATCAGCGCCATACAGACCGTATTCTTGCTGTTGCAGCCTCTCCCGATGGTAAATATGTAGCCACTGGTGGCGCAGATCGGAAGCTTATTATCTACGACGCCCATGCCCTCAAGCCAATCAAGGTTTTCACACATCACAGAGACGCTGTTACTGGACTCGTCTTCCGAAGAGGAACGAACCAGCTTTACTCATGCTCCAAGGACCGCACGGTCAAGGTCTGGAGCTTAGATGAAATGGCTTACGTTGAAACGCTGTTTGGTCACCAGGACGAAATTCTCGATGTCGATGCCCTTGCGCAAGAGCGATGTGTTAGCGTTGGTGCACGAGACCGTACTGCGCGTCTCTGGAAGGTCGCTGAGGAAACGCAACTTGTCTTCCGCGGTGGCGCTGTAGACAAGAAGTCACGTCCTACGGGTGTTCACCCTCGATCTCTCCTTCACGAAGGTAGCATGGACCGAGTAGCCATGATCGACGATGATCTCTTTGTCACGGGTAGCGACAACGGTGCCCTTGCTCTATGGAGTGTGCAGAAGAAGAAGCCTGTGTATATAGAGCCCATTGCACATGGTATCGACCCGCCCCTGGAGCCTGAGGAGGCGTCGGCCGAGGTGAACCCAGACCCCAAGATCGTGCCACCTCCCACACCCCGCTGGATCACCGCTATCCGAACTATTCCCTACTCTGACGTTATTCTGACTGGCAGTTGGGATGGCCATATTCGAATCTGGCAACTTAGTGAGGATAAGCGCAAGATTGAGTTCCGTGGGGTCCTCGCCAAGCCTGAAGACGGAGAGAAGGCGTCCCATGAGGAGAACATTCATGGCCCTCTTCATGGTGTTGTAAACGATATCGACATATTTGAGCGTGGTGATAGAGGCAAAGATGGTCTTTGCGTGGCTGTAGCTATCGGAAACGAACATCGACTCGGCAGATGGAACCCTCCCGCAAAGGCTGGACGCAATGGAGGTTTCATTTTCGAAATTCCAAGGATACAGCGGCCAGTGGTAAACGGCATGAACGAGAGCTCGAATGGAGATAAGCAAGATGAATAAAACAAAGCATAATAGATACTTGACAATCAAACACTCAATAGACGTGGCGGAGATAGCAACTCGCACCACATGTTATATATCATTAGCATATTGGGGATGGATAGGTCTGGGGACCGATGTTGCTTCAGGAGTCGGGTGTTAAATAGGAAAAAGCCTTTGTGATGGGTATAAACTTTGATCATCTTTCTACACCTCTAATGTCTCTCTTTCGTTATGTCAACTCTTTCCCTTCCGATTTCTTGCCCCAAGCAGCCGGAGCCTAGGGACCTGTAGTGATAATATGCTTTGGCGCCTGAAACTATCTTAATCACACATAGCTATAGGGGCCAAAACCCCTGACACCTTGTTCTCATAGACAAATTCGTCGTGTCATCACTGACGAAGACAGAAACAATCCTATACTGTCAAGTCGATGGACTGATCAACTCCGTCATATTGTGGTCCTCTCGGAGGTGACACGTCATCCTCTATGCTTCTCACAACAGTCTGTTCGAGCTGAGCAGCTCGCTGGCTGCCTTGAGACCCTGGCGAGGGATGCTGTCTTGCTACAAGAGAGAGCAGCGGCGAACTAGCCCTCTTCATAGTAGACGAAGTGGCTGTTGGGGCCATGTCATCAGGCGAGTCTGTTAACTTGTGTACGAACTCAGGGGTTGATGGCTGCGTAGGCGGCCGCTCGTCGCGCAACCCTTCTGTGGTCAAACCAGAAGGGACAGGTGGTACGCTGTTGACAGGCGATGATCGAGCCGAATGATACACATCTCCTGAGCTAGAGGCCTTAGACTCATTGCCCGAGTCCTCTCTGAGAGGTTGGACGAGGGATGGTTCATCGATTCTTTTGGACATTGGGGACTGGCCTGGCCTCTCGGCAGAAGCGACTGCAAAATATGAAGAAGTGGTCCCGGTTTGTCTAGCCGACTCAGGAGCCACTGGCGCCGTTTACTGGCGGGCTTGTTAGATACCGACTAAGTTGTGGTGTCTCTGGTTCTCTTCGGGGCACCTGTGGTGAAGAGGCAGGTATCTGTGGTGAGGAGACGGGGCCCCTTGTTGCCCTCCGCTGTCTCTTAATCTCCTTTTCTTTTTCTAGACGCTCATGCTGCTTTTCTTGACATTCGAAGAGAAGATCCCTCACCTTGGCACGAATCTCAGGGGCGTTGATTTTCCACTCGGTGTCTTCTTTGTGAAGGAGTCTTCGAACCGCCTCATCTGGGTCCTTCAGGAAATTTTCCATGTAACCCAGGACATACACACCACAGTCGCAGAAGTTGTCTTGCATCGGAATGCCTCGAGCAGTCATGCCGCTGGGTACACTGGTGATCTCGAGGCCCTTCTTGTGCTTTGCCTCCTCAAAGAGGTACTCCTTTAGACACTTGCAGGTTGGTGAGTGTGATGAGCCTAGCGAGTCGAGTGTAATAATTTTCGAATCGTCAAGGCTGAACCTCTGATTTCCTCCAGTTGATTGTCGCTTGCTCGTTCTGCCAGGAGTCACTATGCTCGGCGTACGCTTGTCATCAATTAGAGAAGGGTTGCTGTCATTCATCGCCCGGCTTCTGGTTGAGCGAGTCACTTCCACATCTATAGACACAATGGGAGGGTTTGTTGCAGCAGAAGGACTCTCCGCACGATTCAGTACTGGGTCATTATCCTCAACAATTATTGCATCTTGTGGATTCCAAGACTCCTTCTTGATGTTTGGTTCCGCGTTCACCTCTTGTTGCAGAAGACGAGGTGCATTGTATATGATGGCAAGGTACCAGTGCGCGTTTTCGTTGACGGGAACAACAATGAACTCGTATGACAGCAGTTCGACTCGGGCAGTCCAGGCTTTGACCCCATCATAGTTGATCTTGCCGCGATTTGATCTTAGCTTCTCGAAGAAAAATGTACTAAAAATGTACACCTTCTTTAGGACCTCTGGTCGCTCTTTCTCAAGCTGGTCTTGTAGATAGCGAAGATAAAAGCTGATAATGTTGTCGTTGAGAAATTCGCCTTCATCCAGCCGTTGGATATCATCTTTATCGACTGTTGCCCTGTTCTTTCCTGTTGGAGGCCACACCAAAGATCTGTGCCATTTTTTCTCCCAACCAGGATTGCAAGCCGTCCATGGTTTCGGGGTTCTTTCATGTTGAGATTGTGGAGATTCTTTTCTTGTTGATTGTCGAGTCCCGAGCCTTTGGTTGCGAGCCAACCCTGTAAACAGATCATCGGTGTCGGGCGGTTCCATTTGCACACCATCTTTGGGCTCAAAGATACTTTGCATCCCATCCTTAAGCTTCTTTTGTTTCGAAGCAGGAAGGCCAGGTGAGACAGGATCACCTAAGAAAGGATCTCTGTGGTGCTGCTGAGATCTGGAACTGTTGGCTCGATGATTATCATGCGGTATGAATATACCAGATGCCTTCGCTAAGCTTGTCCCGTAACCATCGGCCTCTTTCTTTGCGCGACAGAATGTTGCCTCCAGCTTGTCTCTGGGGAATTGTTAGTTTATCTTTGAAAGCCATGAAGTTTTGACAAGCACTTACGTGCTGCATTCTGAAAGGCATGGCAAGCCGTGCAACCAGTAGATAAAAAACGAGGCGTCTTCTTCGTTCACAAACTTTAGTGCGAGTTTGCCGCAGGAGAAAGATGCTCTGGCTGAGCGACTAATGAGGACAATGGGGCTATTAGTGTTATGGTGTTTTACATCTTGGATTGACGACCGCAAAACTTGAAGCCAGGAGAGATCTCCGCTATTCTCATGCATGGGCTCAGCAGCGTCGGGACCAAGTCGAAGTGTGACTGGCTCGATATTGTCTGCTGGAGAGAACGAGTATTTCCCACAGACTGCAGCCTCCAAGGAAACATCTTTCAACGCCAATCTCTTGTTAGCCAAGGTTTCGCGCCCCGGCATGGCTTTTGTCGCTTTGAATGTGGTAGACTGTATGTCACCCCGTTGGGTTCGCGGCTGTGAAATTAGCTTCGGGAAGCCAGGCTTCTTGATTGTCTCACGGGGTCCAGGAGCTCTAGTCGCAAGCTCATCATCAGAATGCTGCGGGTGCACCTTGAAGCGCTTTGGCGCACTCTGGCTATATTCTGTTGCTGCTCTCTTTGGATGAGAAACGACATCAGACGTGACGTTGGCGGGTGGCGGACCCTCCTCATCTTCCCTTGCTAATTGGTCTGGGCTTGTAGGGGGATGTGAAGTTTGAGGAGCAAGGTTTCGGTGCGCAACGGCACTCGTATCGTCAATCTCGATAGGTGACGAAGATATTTTGGATTCGTGTCTGCGCCGTCGTCGGGTATGTTTCACGCTGTTGTGACGGTGAACATTGCGGTACTCTTGCTGGTTGCTCGTAGCTCCTGCAGTCCTACCGAAACTGACGATGCTCGAGCCATCGATAGTTTCGACCATAGAGTCTTCTCGGGTCAGATCGTGATACTTTTGCGGCGAGCTTTGCGTTTCTTCGTCTTCGATTCCTTCTAGCGGCCGGTGGAGAGAACCCGAAGGGAAGAAGCGGGACAAATTCGTGTTGGATAGTTCAGGTCCGGATGGCTTGACTCGCTTGTTCGGTCGATCATATCGAGGTTCGCTGGAGTAACTTCTTGCTTCAGTAGATTGCCCGCCACCCATCGAGCTTCGTGGTTTCTGGTCATTGATCGCTCTCTGCTCTGAATATCAGTAACTAGCATGTATCTTTGCAAGCGCAGTGAGAGACTGACAATCCGTGATTTCATCTTCGCTTCTTCACCCGGAGCTCTGCAAAAGGTGTCAGCAGGAGTAATTTCACGAAGAGTGGACAAGGAGCCTACCCATAGTCCGGGAAAGAGTTGGCGGTGGAGAAATAGCGTGCGAGAGGGCTAAGGCGAATTAGAGCGAAGCTCAGCAGAATACGCAGCAGTATGGAAAGGAAAGAAGAAGAGCAATGCGCACTCCCATCGAGCCTTTTTCCTCCACTGATCACCTATTGACGAAGACTGTGCGTGGGCCTCCAGCTTTTCACCCTGGCAGTTCACGATGCGGCAGGCTATGAGGCGGTCATCAGCAGCCGCCAGATATTCGTGCAGCAGATAGCCGAGGTTCCCTGAGTTACAGGCAGGACCGTCGAGTATGAAGAGCACAAATTTTTATGAGCAAAGAACAGGGACTTCTTGAATCGAGCAGGTATTGTCTTCCCGGAGCTGTTGAATGCAAGTTTGAATGGACGGTTCTAGCGGGATCACTAGACGCTGCACTGGCTTGGCTGGGTTCTAGTGGGGCTACGCTTCAATTTAGTGCGACTTCGGCATAAACTTGGAGCCCAGCTAGGGGAGGAAAGAATACTCAGGACCTTGGTCCTAAGTGACAAAATGACTTAGGTAACTTAGGATAAATTTAGGGTAACTTTACTAAGTTTAGATTTCCTTTGCTGAGTTTCTTTTTGATACCCTATATCCAGGTCTAAGTTTTCTTGCCCCCCGAGGCCCAGATAGTGATGACTGTCAACTGCCTAGGTAGGTACCTTAGCTTAGGTTAGTAGTTAGGTGCCTACTTCCTTTAGGTAAGGTCGGGTTTCTAAGTTGTCAAAATGTTAGCCTTAACACAGGGTTCAATCTAATGGGGTTGAAGAGGTCCAACAGGTTCTACTGACTTGGGTACATAAGCTGTCTTAACATGCAACACTGAAAGTCTTGTGTGGATGTTAGAACATGTCCACATTAAATCAATACCGGTATTGGATGTTTTATGCGATGCTTCCTCAATGAGATCATCTTCACTGAATTCAGTCCAATTGAAAAGTGGAGTTCATAGAGCACACAGCGGCCCAATCACAGGGGCAGAAATCTCACAGCTCCAGTGCTCACCTGAATTACCCTCGTCCGTCCCAAAACGTGGCCAGTAGCACCAACAACTCGAATACCAAGACGCGACATCGTCAACATTTCTCCTTCAAGCTCTCCTTTTCTTTTTGTACAACACTTCGAGAGCAAAAGCTGCAACTGCAGCTAATTCAAAGCTCACCATGTACAATTCTCTTACTCGTATTCAGAACACCTTTGGTTTCTTTACCACTGTCGCATTTGTGGTCGCAGCTTTTATCGCTGCGTCCGACCTCTTGGCTCCACGGGCGCCTGATGCTGGCATATTCCAGAAGACAAACGCTCAAGTGTATGTCTTCTCTTTCTAGAAACAAACATTATATACTGACTGTCTCTTGTCTTGCAGTGTGAAGGGCCGACCACACTACTACAGCTCGAAGAAGGAGGAATACGCCATCATTCGATTCAACCTCGATGCTGACTTGAGGAGCCTCTTTACATGGAATACCAAGCAGGTTTTTGTCTACGTCACTGCTGAGTGGCCGGGTCCCAACAATTCGACTAATGAGGCTGTTATCTGGGATAAAATCATCACCAACCCCAGCGCCGACCATCTCCAGAACATTGGACCTGTTGCGATGAAGAAGCTAAAGCGTAGCGCTGAGGGCAAGTCCATCGATCCTGAACGGTAGGTCTCTCTATATCCACAAGTATTCAAACAGAACCTAAGAATATTATAGTGGCTTTATCGGCCTCAAAAACCAGAAGCCAAAGTATCAGATCACCCACCCCAGTGGAAAGGTCGCCGAGATAGATGATGTGAAGCTCAAGCTACATTACAATGTTCAACCGTGGGTCGGTTTTCTAACTTGGGATCAGTCCCGGGATATCGGTCACTGGAGGGCTTTGAAATGGGGAGAGTCGCCTAAGTTCCAACTCCCTGCTCTCAAGACTAAGAAGAAAGATAGTCCTAAGAAGAGCTACTAATGGTAGACAAATACTTGTGTGTTCTTGAAATTGCATTCGTGGTGTGATGTGGCCCCGGGTCTTTGGCAAAGCCATGGATGCAAGTCTATGTAGGAATGATCCCTGGCAAGATTTGTTTGCACTCGTGACTCCGTGATACAAGTATCTAGCTTTTATCTATCATACATTTCACATCCACAACTTTTATCTCAACGCTGGCTATGTTTTGAACAATCCAAGCATTTCAATATCATGCTATAACACACGGCATCATGAACAATCCATCAGTCATCGCCAGTACAAGTATGAATCAGAACTGCGAGGCATCTAGCCTTGGGTTCCATCAGCAGCAACTCCTCCGTTGCCTCGTCCGCGGCTGGCTCCGCCTCGCCCTCTTCCACCACGTCCACGTCCACGGCCCCTGCCTCTGGGTGAGTCAAGGCTAGCTGGTGGCGGAACACTGCCATATCTCTGTTCCTGCGGAGGCTCGACCCCCTGGTGTCCATCAGGACCTGGGGGACCATGATGGGTACCGCGTGCGCGACCACGACCTCCTCTACCTCGAGTTCCATGCCCATTAGCGTCCTGGCCTTGGGCCGCGCCATCGGGAGGGCCATTCCGGTAAACCAAGGTGCTGTGCATGAGGTTAGGGGCACCTCCACGAGCGCTGTTGCCTCGTCCTCGTCCAGGGGAGTTGCGTCCTGGTGAATTGGAGCCATTCAAGGCTCCGCGCCAACCACCACGAAGCGGACCAGGTGCTGGAGCATCCTTATACTGTGTAACACCCACATTCGCATATCCACCGTGGGCGGCAATGACTGGTCGTCGCTGTTGTGACTTGCTTGTGGTTGAGATTACTTGTTTGTTCGTGGTATTCAGGACCGAAGAAGATGCCACAGTCTGTCCGCGGAACATCGGAGCTCTCTCGTTAAGCGTGGTGCCACTCATGAACGATGTGTCCCAGACAACATCTAAAAGCAGAGCGGTAGCTGTGCGGCTGATGCCAGCAACAGTTCCACGGGTCGCGATAGGAACTTTTCCCGCGGCAGAGACGTAAGTTACCCGATCTCCCAAGACAAAGTTCTGGCTGCCGAGCACCATCTCAGCATCAGACGGCTTGAGAAGCGCTGAACGAGGAACACTACGCATTTTCTTGATCTCAATATCTTGAGAAGCAGCATGGATTTGTTCTCCGACATTAGCCAGGGCCTTGACAACCTCGGAGTCGAGTTGCTCAGCCTCTAAAGGAACACGCTCGAATTTGCTGGTCTCCTGTTTCTTGAGCCAGGCCACAATTTCCTTGACTCTCTGCGAAGCAACACTGGTGTCGTTCCAAAGATCGGTTTCGAGAACCTCGCTCTTCTGAGGTTCCCGCTGGATGGCCGCAAAGAAATCGGGGAAGGCAACCATGTAGTCAGCAATCAACTTGATTGCCATGCCACTGAATTCCCAGCCCGTGTGAGACTTCCTTGAGTACCCTAGAACCTTAAGTTTTCGCCCTTCAAATTTCAAATTCAGTCCCAAATTCAGTCGAAGTCCAGCAGAATTGATAATTTGATACGAAGACGTAATCTTGCTTAGAACAAGAGGATGGATTCCCAACTGCTTGGCAACAGCAAAAGAAGGGGTGTAGGGGTTGGAGCGTTCTGCCTGGTGGATAATTTGCTTCGCAAAGTCCGGTTCCTTATTCTTCAGCATCGAAACAACGATCTCAGCCTTATTATTGGCGTGGGCAGCGACTTCAAGGGGGCGTCCGTATGCGTACTCTCCCAGGAAGAACGCACGAGTACCCCGAGGGAATTCTTCCTCGACTGGCAACGCCTCTTTTTCAATGAAACGTTCATCTTCGTTAACGACTTCGTTAACAATGGTCTGCGCAGCATAGGTGCTTCTCAGGCTGGGATTCTCAGCATACTCTTTGATCAGGGCACCCTCCTCCGTACGAATGAGACCCTTCAGCATATGGACATATACCAAGCACTCAACCTGTCCGATGGTGATTGCCAAGCGTTTGGCATGCCAGTTCTCCAGGTGATCAGCTTCCTTGGCCCAATCCGCAGCCTCCCTGTTATTGTGGTCCCTCGTCACAATATCTTTCCCATTGTCGGCCATTTCGTAGCTGAAAAGTTCGTCTTGCACCTTGATGACTTTGGCTTCCTGAAGGAATGGGTATCCAACGAAGCATCGATGGCCTATTTTGGCCTTCCAAGTTTCTATCTTGGTACGATTCTCCGTTTCAGTCAGTGTGACACAGATGCTTGGGTTTCTGCTGTCAGCCTGGAATACATTGACACCGTACCCTTCAACGAGTTGGGCAGTATATGGAAGAGTGTGCAGCGAAGGGAAGCCGGCCAGTGCATCGACGCTTAGCAAAGCACCGTTAGTCAAGCCTGACAAGTATTCGAGTCCCTCCATGTCCGGAAGGTCGAAGATATTCTCAATACAGCGACAGTTCTGGATCTCTGGGAAAACGCCAGGTAGTGGTGAAGGATACACAAAATCGACTTCGGGGGAATAGGTGAACTTCAGAGGAACCCCAAACCCGTTGCGAGCCTTCTCATCAAGTTCCAACAACTCGTTTTTGGGGGCCATCGCGGTCAACAAGCGCTTTTCGTCGATGAAGGGAATCTTGATAACTGCTTCCCAGTCCATCTTCTTGCCATTCATGTCCAGTTCGAAGTCTCGTGGATAGAAGTCAATGATTGGAGAATCAGGATTCGTCATCAGGTCGTGGTAAACCTTAGGGACGATCTTCTTACTCCGGTCCGGTAACACGCCCATGAGTTGCTCGTACGGCAAAAAAGGTTGGCCCTTTTTGAAGTTGAGGTCCGCACCGACACCCTTGACGACATCTACATTTTGTCAGCTACAAGAACTCATATACAGCCATATTACATACCTGAAATGAGAGGTGCATAATGGTACCCGTAGAACCAAGGCCATGATGCAATTCCTTGATAGTAGTAGTACAGGACCCACTGGAGACCCTGGACGTAGTTCTCACAAAGCGCTGTAAGCTCCTTGTCGTAACTGCCAGGTGCCCACTCTTCAAACTTCTGGAGATAGTATTTTGTCTTCCAGCCTTGGTACTTGTCTTGGTAGAGTTTCTCGTAATGCTTCTGAGCATCTTCGGGAGTCAAGTCGATCACCAACGCCTTGTCGTACGTCTTCATTACCCGGTAGGCAGCTAGATTGCCCTCCTCGTCGTCATCATCATCATCCTCCTCCTCGTCGGCATTATCCTTGACCTTGGGGGGGAAAGATACGATCAGGTGACGGTGCCCCTCATCATCTTCCTTAGTGGACCACTGGAGGTGCATTGAATCAGCCAAATCCTGAACAAACTTACGATCAGCGGCCTTGAGACTCGTACCGAGATCCAAAGGTTGTTCAGAGCGTTTCGAAATATAGGGGCGAATCATTTGTTTCCATAAATCGCGCTGCGCTGAGGTGATCACCAGCTGACCCCCTTTGGGGGCTTTCGCTTGGGCGTTTTTGTTTTCGAGTTTCTTTTCCATCTGTTTCGACGCGAACCACTTTTCATCAGATACGTCGTTCTCGAAAGCATCAATTTCGGTCTTGGAAAGTTCGCCGAGGAGGCGCTGTAGTCGCTCCATATTGATAACTCCATTCTCGTTGATGTATCCATCGCATTCTGGGAGGATAGATTTGTAGATTCTAAACATTTTCGCCAAAGCACCTTCATTAATGTGCAGACTGGGTAAGTTGGGCAAGAAATCGTTCCCTACGAAGAACGCCATCAAAATAAAGTCATCAATGACTCTTTCTAGATCAAAGGGAAATCTCAGGGCTCCATCCTCTTGGAGCTCCTGAAATTCCATCTCCAAATATTCTCTGACTATGCAAAGATGAAGCAGATAGAAGTTCTGGTGCTCAAGCTCTTTGGACTTGGTCTTTGACGCCCGTCCGAATGTAACCTCTTCTCGGAGAAGACAGAAATGAGGGTCATGGCTGAGCAGACCAAGCATGATCAGATCAGCATCAAGACCATAAAGGCAGTGTCTGACGTTCTGGTTATAGTTTGGCTGGGCTTTGGCATTTCGAATGTATTCCATGATCTTGTGCTCTCCCTCGCCAGGAACTTCGTGGCCGGATAGCACAATTTCACAACCCTGCCAATCTGTGTCCTCGGACACCTTCTTGTTGACGAAATACCTCAATTGCTGGGATAGTTTCGCCATGAACTCCGTGCCTGCGACTTGTCAGATTTTGTCGTTGACATTCCTGGTGAATTCAACATACCGGGGGTGATGCAGTTGCTGTCGAAAGGTTCCTCTTTGGGAATCTCGACACCTTCCTTGATGGCCTTTTCACGGGCCTTTTCAGCATCGAGGGCAGTCCTAAAACGCCGAGAACGTTGCTGGTTCATCTTGGCTCGCGGCGCAACACCATCAATAGCCATGAAAAAGAGTCGTTTGGGTTTAATCTTTCCAAACAAATGTTCAATGTAGTTGAATATGCGAATGAACATTTCCTCCTCGCTGAGACGGAATGATACATCCTCGCCCGCATCCTTGTGGGTACAGTTATGTATGATACCATTCATGTCGAGCTAGACAACGGTCAGCATGTATGCGTAAAAGGATGACAGGAGGGCATCAGGCGACGAACATAAAGGCAGTCGAATTCGGGTATCCGGTTTTCTGCGATAAGTTGAGAAATGGCAGGATATCGTTCTGAGAGCCATCTGAAGAACTTGGGGACACTGCGACGAAAAGAATCAGCTATTGGAGGTAAGGATGAAGAGCAACGAGAGGTACGCACCCCATTTTGACGGGTCGTGGACAGTTTCCAGTCCACACAAAACGTCAAATGTATTGAACGCGATGTTTTATTGGGAACACACTCCTAAGAAACTGGGCGGGAAACGTGGGAAGTCCTGTAAAATCAGGATCGCGAGACAGTAGTCAACGTGGCGCCAAACAATCTGTGAGCGGATGGTGGTATAGCTGAGCGATTAGACCTCGCCAAGTGATACTGCAGGACACTCCGTAAATTGTGCTGTATCGTAGGGTACCGTCGAGTTCCGTGAGGGTTTATGAGGTAGAAGGGTGAAGGTGAAGGCGAACCGTGTTATCGTGAAGTCCAAGAGTCATTGAGGGAACCCAGGACCTACGGCGAGATGGTGGGGCTCTGGACCTGTGATGGAGGGGCTCAGTGATCTACTTCTGAAGTACTTGTAGGCTTCTCTGTTTTGTTTGACGTTTGGAGTACTGCCTAGGTACGTGCCTTGCTGCGACTCCCCGCTGTGAGTGAATTGCCCGTGGTAGGTTGTGGGGTACTCTAGCCACAGGGATCTTCCACTCGCTGTGGCTCACCGTTGCTAGGTACTGTCGTCACTTTACGCGCGACGCGACAGGGGGCACTTTTCAGCCTTCCCGGTCAACTACAATCATCGTCCTCAGCCGTGCACACAATTTCTTACCAGCAACGATTTGCTAGGTACTTACTTTGCCTTTGCTATTGTCTTACACATATTCTTCACATTCTAAACAACCTCAAAATAGTCAACTCAGCAAATAAGAAAAGTTATCATGGCACCTGCTCAATCTGCAGAGCGCGATGTGGACAGTGAGTTTGCGCTTCACAAGCAAGCAATTAAACTTGCCCGTAACCGCAAACTTGCACAGACATAGTTACTGACCTGAATGCAGTCGAGATGACTCACGAAGATGATGATGATCAGGGCGAGCGCATGATTAATGAAGGTATGGAGCAAATAGTGACAAGAATATGGACTAACCGTACTAACACTAAACAGAGTACAAGACATGGAAGAAAAACAGTCCGTTCTTGTATGACATGATTCTCGGGCAAGTCATAGGTCTTTGATCACTACCACGAATTCTCGATCTAACTTTCATCTTCCAGAACGGCTCTGACTTGGCCTACTCTGACGGTCCAATGGTTTCCCGACGTCAAGGAGCCAGAGGGCAAGAATTACTCAGTTCACCGCCTCCTACTTGGCACTCACACTTCAGATGAGAGCCCCAACTTTCTTCAAATTGCCAATGTTCAGATTCCAAAGGCTGTAGCGCCCAATCCCAAGGACTATGATGACGAGCGAGGCGAGATTGGTGGCTACGGTAAGCCTGGTGATGTTGCTGCTATCAAGTGCGAGATTGTTCAGAAGATCGAGCACCCCGGAGAAGTTAACAAGGCTCGATACCAACCTCAGAATCCTGACATCATCGCCACTCTTTGTGTGGATGGCAAGATCCTTATCTTCGACCGAACGAAGCACCCTCTCCAGCCCACTTCCCTTGGAAAGATCAACGCTCAGATTGAGCTTGTTGGACACAAGGCCGAAGGTTTCGGCCTGAACTGGAACCCTCATGAGGAGGGGTGTTTAGCTTCTGGTAGCGAGGATACCACAATGTGTCTTTGGTAAGTCTTGAACCCTGGTACTCCGAATGCTCTACTCACATACGGTACTCAGGGACTTGAAGACCCTTAAGAGTGATTCGAGAATCCTCAATCCTTCTCGCAAGTACACTCACCACACTCAGATCGTCAACGACGTTCAGTATCATCCAATCTCAAAGAACTTCATCGGTTCTGTGTCCGACGATCAGACCCTCCAAATCGTTGACGTACGTCACAGCGAGACCGCTAAGGCGGCAGTTATTGCTAAGCGCGGCCATCTTGATGCGATCAATGCTCTGGCGTTCAACCCCAACTCGGAAGTTCTTGTGGCCACTGCCTCAGCCGACAAGACAATTGGCATCTGGGACCTCAGAAATGTCAAGGAGAAGGTCCACACTTTGGAAGGTCACAACGATGCTGTTACATCCCTGGCCTGGCACCCGACTGAGGCCGGTATCCTGGGAAGTGCCAGCTATGATCGAAGAATCATCTTTTGGGATCTTTCGCGGGTTGGCGAGGAGGTATTGCCTGACGACCAGGATGATGGCCCCCCTGAATTGTACGTCCAGAAACTGCCAGGGCTTGATTATAACAAAAAGCTAACAAAGTCTAGACTGTTCATGCACGGCGGCCATACAAACCATTTGGCTGACTTCAGCTGGAATCTCAACGAGCCTTGGCTTGTAGCAAGCGCTGCGGAAGACAATCTGCTGCAGATCTGGAAGGTAGCCGAGTCCATTGTCGGTAAGGACGACGGCGACTTGCCTGTCGATGAGCTCGACCGATAGGTGAGGTGGAAGTTCGTGGAGAAGTTCCGGTCTTCATAGGATGAGGAGACGCAGCAGCTCTGGAGGCGCTGGCTTCAAGAGATAGATGCCACCAGCATCGAGGGGCAAAATAGTTATCCTAGTGCCAGGTGTACAAGTACTCAAAGGGGGTTTGCAGCCTAAGAAAGATAACAAACAAATTATCCACGTATCTCCCTAGATCAAATCAAATAGTTTTTTGTTCTTCGGAACTCCAGCTCTTAGCAGTGTCGCGAACTTCTCTCGGTGGCGTGGCACAGTTGTCACTGGCAGCACCTGGCGGCTCATCTCTTGTCTCTAGTTGACCTGGTGACTCGACTTCCTAAAGCAACTTGGGTGCCCTGGTTAGATACTATTCGTTGCCTGATGTTAAAGCCAGTCAGTGGCCAGCTGCCTGGCTATTGTTTCTTGAATTATGCCCCACGAATCACGGCCAAGTATCTCTGCACTACGACTTTCGACTTCAGCTTTCTACAATCACAGTGCCGCAAATCTGGCAACATCATTCGGCCCCTCTGAGCTTTCGCCTATTTCTTCTTCACAATCCTTATGGCTTCCAACCCATCTCATCCAGATGCGGGATCATCTGCACCAAACAACATCCCTCAAAATACCCTCAACATGCATCCAGCTGCGAGCAACACGGCTCAGTCCAGTGTCAACTCTCAAACTACTCCCCAGGACCAGGGAGAAGGTCAAGCCCAGTCCCCAGATGAGCTCCTCACACATCCAGAGCGGCAATTTGAACTCCTAACAGATGGCATGCGACGTCGCCTCGAGGAAGCAGTTGCTCGCGAAGCCCGCACACATGAAGAACTGGCCGCAATGGGGGTCGATCCTGAAGGCCTTGACGAACATAGGAACGAATACATAGACACAAACATCGATCTGGGCCCTGATGTCGAAATCAAGGAGCCCGACAGCCGACTCGGCATCGCAAAGAGGGTCAAGTTCTCGAAAGCTTACTCTCATGGTCTATTTGAAGGACATAATCCATATGAAATTGAGAATGAGGTTGATCATCTCGCCCTGAGTCTCAAGCACACCAGTCTCGATCTTATCACGGCCCTCTGCTGCAACCTTGAGCTTGCTGTTGAGATTGGTAAGCACCTCTCTCCCAGAGACATCGTGAGCCTGTACATTGCCAGCCCTACATTTCGAGAAGCAATTACGGGGCATATGCTCTCCTGCATTCGTATGTGGATTGACACCAATGCGCCTGAGGCTGGTAAAGTCTTCCATTGGAAGCTCTATGGCAGAACCCTCATCAAGGATCCAGCGGACCGCAATTCAAGTACTCATGATGCTCGGTTCCTTGAAGGCCGCTGGGAAACCGCGAAGACAAACCCCAGCCAGATTCGACTGATTCCTGGTTTAAAGTACCTTGAGTTGGTCATCGGTCGTGATCGATACTGTCGCGAGATCATCGCAATAATGGCTCGCATGGGTTTTCGCATGCCACACACAATGCACAGCACCCTTCTCCGACTCTGGGTCCTACTTGAAATTCCTACTACGCGCCAGAGACGATTGTCTCTGAGTAGCAGAAAGTACTGGACCAACATTCACCTCTACAACGCGCACTTCTTCATCATCAAGCTTTCAATGGCCTTTACACACCCCTTTTTCAGCCCCATCAGCATTGACATGGTTAAACTCATGATGGGCCAGAAAGGCTTATATCCCCTGTGGCAATGCCTCATGCGGCAGAAATACAGAACTATGTCGGAATGCATGGAACTCAAGGCTCGCTATGACTTGCGTCTCTCTACGCTTGCTTGGGACCGTATACAGAGAGAAAGATACCCCTCGGCTTATGGCGTCCCTCTCCACGAGGTTGGTCTTGGTCACCTGGAAGGCTGGGGGAAAGGCGTCCTTCGTCTCGAGCGCCCTGATGAGATATTGCCGATCGAGGCAGCCTCCCGTGGACTCCATTTAGACGACCACATCACTCAAATGATGTTATGGGGCTATATTGACTTTGAGACGGGAGAGAACCTCGTCCCCACCGAAGATGAGATGTACATCTCAGATGAAGATGAGAAACTCAACAAGGCCGACAATGCTCACCATTGGCAGCGCAAGCACGCTCTCAAGAAACGCTGGACTGAACTAACCCCTGAACAGCAACAGGACATTAAGGACGACGATGCGGATGAACACCTCCGTGCTATGGCCTGGTCATCAGTCGACCACGAGGACCTAGACTGGGACAGGGAATCCGACGACGAGAGCGACGGCGAATACGACATCAACACCGAGATCAACCGTGGATATCGCATGCCTGCCGCACGTAACGAAAACTCATCACCTGACGAGAGCATGAGCGACATACCAGCTGGTGGAGAGGCAATTCGCGTAGGGAATCAGGAGATTTCTGGTGACGAAGTCGCTGAGATGGTGGGAGGAATGGACGTGCCCGTTCAAAGAGAAGAGATCGAGGCCTGGAATACCACGCTCAGCGAACTCTTCATCAACTCAACCCCCGAAGTGAATGATGGCGATTACGAAACGGCCAAGGCTTGGGACATCTGGTTTACCAATGGATGCTCTGGTCAACGCCCCTTTACCATCACGCCGAATACGATGGGTTTCCAGAACCAGGCCACCGGTAACAATCTGAACAACAATGGGCAATAGGGCTGTGGAGGAATAAAGGTGCAAAAGATCTGTGCAACTTCTAAACGAATGGCATAAGATCGCCCTGGTCAGACAGCAGGCGGGTAGCGAATTCCAGTGCTACTCTTGATCAGTGACCTTGCTGTGTTTCTGCATCCATCGTTGGCTGATCTCCAACGGAGGAAAAAGGGGAAAACAAGAGATTATAAGTCAAAGTACTTCTTGAGCATCCTATACTAATCCACTATGCAAGACATACATAATGTGAAAAGCAGGGAGAGTTGGTGTCTAAGGAATTACCTATCGATCATGCGAGGGTAGTTCAATGAGAGGAAGAAACACAATATGTAGACGAAATAAATGACAACCTCCAACAGCCAGCCGGCCTAATCGATCTTGCCTAGCCAAGTTCTTGAACCCTATTGTGTAGACAAAGTCATAGTCCCTAGTAGAACTGCGAGGAATCCAGATAGTACCTATGTAGGACTGGCGACATGCTCCCGCATCGTCAACTCCTATGAACAGCAAAGATGCAGCTTTGGCCAACCCATGGGACATAACATCCATTTTGACACCCCGACTCCTCCCTACCGTGGCTTAGGTTCCTATTAGCCACCCCGTCCAGCTCCCCAGCTCCCCAGCTCCTGCACGTCCAAAGCAAAATCAGATGAAGACAGAAAGATGCAGAGATTATCAAACAACTGAGCAACGTGAGAAAGACAACGTCAGACTCATGCGGGAGAGAATGAGTGACAGGGGCAAAAACCAGAAGATGAGTGTAGTTATGAGAGACAGACAATAGAGAGAAATAGTTAGTTTGTCGGGTAATGAGCCGCCGACTTTGCGTGAACTGGGATAACTGAGTCAGACAAAGGCCAAGAAATATCCGTACACACTCCCCTTCGCTATGCACCCAACCCCGTAACCGTTTTCCAGCAATACCACCACCAGCCCCTGAAGCTTTCAGAGACCTCAACAGCTCTATGGATCTTCCTTTGCCATCATGGCAAGAGGAAAAAAGAGCCGCATCATGCCATCTCCAGTCTTGCGAAACATAAAACAGACAGCGACCCCAGTAAGCAAAGTCCGTACCATATGGACTCAACCGGCAACACCAGAGAAAGGAGGCCCTGGTCCCAGCAAAGTAAGCAAGTCACTTTTGTCTTCCCAACCCTTGAAATTTTGTAACACATCCCACCTTATAATCAATTATCCGTCACTCCGACCAGACCTTCCGAACCAATACACACACCGTTCCACCTTTCCTTTGATAGATCTGATACCACAGGGTATGTAGTTGCAAATGCTCTATGCTCGTCATCAAAGAAATTTCGCGAAAAAATAAAGCGGCGCGTATCACCCGGGTCAATATACATGGAGGGGTGACCCAAGAAACACGCAGCGGATCGGCTGTAACAGTCTTTTACCGTTTAAACAGGCGACTTGTTAGGAGGGGCAGAACCACCATTCTGGCGGCCATCTCCTCCACTAACTGAAAGCCCTCCAATGCCGCTGGAGAGGAAAGCAAAGGGGTCGTTCTCAGTATTGCCACCGTTGTTGTTGGCGTTATTGTTATAAAAGTTGTTTGATGGTCCACCAGATGCAGGTCCATTGGTGGCTGACTGGAACGCAGCCTCAGCAGCACGGCTATCGAAAGGACCAGCCGCATGGGAAGCAGGTCCAGATCCAAAACTGCCATGAGTGTTCAGGGAGCTAGGGTAGGCGGCAGCACCACCTCCGAGACCCGAGGGAAGGTAGTGGCTGGGCGGGCCTCCAAAGTGTTGTTGGTTATAACCACCACCGGAGCCGCCGAAGGAGCTACCGGAGCCGAATGGTCCGGGTCCTGGAGCACCTCCCATGGATCCTTGATTCATACCGTACTGAGAGGCATTGTCCATGGGAGAAGGGTATCCAGAATCAGCAACAACAGCTGCGCCTGCGCGGCTGGCGCCACATCGAAGACAGCAAACGTTCTTCGCGAAGTTATGGTAGCCACAGACCTCGTTACCACACTTCCAATCACCAGCACGGAAAGGCACCACACCGCTACCGCCCATACGGCCACCGCCATGACCCATAGGCCCATGGTGGCCACCGTGAGGAGGGGGGGGCATCATAGCAGGGGGTCCGTAACCATATCCACCACCGTAATTGTTATTGCCGCCGCCCATATCGTTCGAAGGGCCAGCACCGACAGCAGGGAACGAGCATCGGAAGCAAGCAGTTCGACGCTGGAAGTTGGAGAACCCGCAAGAAGGACAGGTCCAGTCACCAGGCCTAGGGCGGTTCTTGCTAGGAGGGAAAGGAGTCAGTATGTCCTGGGCGCGGTCGAGGACACGGCTAGAGGAGGGCGAGACCTCAATGGCCTTCTCATTAAGGGCACGACCATTCATACAAAGGCTCTCAGCGGCCTATAATTAATTAGCATGACAGATAACACATGTTGCCGACAAGAAGATGGAAATGGCGCAAAATGAGACTTGGTGAAGGAACTACTAGACTTACCTCCTCATGAGAAGAGAACACGGCAAACCCGGTACCGGTGGGTTTATGCTGTTCAGGGGTTCGAAGAGTCCAGAATGCAATGGGTCGGCCACCGAACTGAGTGAACCAACTTTCGAGCTCTGACTGAGTGGTATCGTGAGGAAGTCCCGACATATGAAGAACCTTGCTCCTCTCCGAAAGAAAAGCTCGAACATCGGCCCGGGCATCCATGGGCCGAGTCAAGACATCGGGATGCTCCTGGGGAGGCTGCGACTTACGAATCAACCCCCTGAGGACTCGGGCAAGAGTGACAGCCTCTTCCATTGCACGTCGTGGCGAGGCAGGGGCAAGAGCCTGGAGGTGGAATGGAAGGTTGTGCTTAATTGGAGCACTCGACTGAACGGGCTCAACTTCGAGAGCGGCGCAAATGTTGGAGAGCATCGAAGGTCCGAATGGCAGAGACTCGGGGTGGTGTTGCTGCCAGCGCTGGTACTCGGTGCGGAGATCGAAAGTACGCGAGTGCTGCAAGTAAGGAGGGAGAACCACAGCCTTGTCGCGGGCCTCGCGAGGCAGCTGAACACGGAGATCCCATGCGTCAAGAGTGACGAAGACGAAATCGAGGTTCTTGGAGGTTAAGTACTCGGTAGCGAATGTATCGAATCGGGTGATAGCGTCTCTAAAGGTACCAGCGTTTCGAACATGCTCCCAAGTCAAGGTAGTCAGGCTCGCTGTGAAAACAGTGGGTTAGCTAAAATATTTTACCTCGACATGAAAGGCCAGCAATATTGGGTTTCGGCATTTGGGCAATTGTCTGGACGAAAGAGTGCAGCGTGGAGTATGTAACGGAAAAGAGCCATTAGCGTAAGAAAACTTACTGCAGAGGGGCGTAATTGGAGTATTGACGGGTTTGACAAGGACGCTCTCATGAGTAATCTGGCAGTGGCAAGGCTAGTCAGTAATCGGTGTGTTATACGGAGACATCGAATGCTTCTGGGGGAGAATTTGCAACACATGGAAATTTTTGGGGGAGGGTTTTTGGCCGGGACAGGATAGTGTTTCTCACCTCCTCGAGTGAGTTTGCGTCGACCAGGATCCAACCAAGCTCAATTACTTCGGCCGAGTCTTTTGTCACATAAACGCCGTGCTCGTCGCAGGTAGTCGCAACATGGATGACAACATATCGATCGATGTTAAGCTGGGGAAGTTGTTGTGAGGCCATGTTCGCGACGGAATCGCTCGGACGAGGGTTGGCTGCGAGTTTGGGAGGTGAGAAGAATCAGTATCTGATTCACTGGCAGCGCGGAGGGGGCGGCAGCGGCGAACTACAAGGGGATCTCGTAGATTCCCTGAGATCGTCGTAGTGATAAACAATCGAAAGGCAAAGAAATATTATGTGCAAGTAGCCCGTGGCCCGGCCAGCTCGCGATGAAAGAGGTAGAAAGGTATACGTGAGGTGGGTGAGCGGGAAGTTGACGGGAAGCGGAACGGATGTGGATGTGGCCAGTAGTTGAAATGGCAGCTTCCATCCTTCAGGGGAGTTGGTGCCAAACACGAAATGGGCCTGAGGCGGGTGCTTTCTCTCCTAGGTAGGGGAGCAGGCCCCGTAGGTAATGTACCTAGTGGAGAATGTCAGCACACCCGACGCTACCAGGCTATTTAAAGAGCCGGCCATGAATGAAGGGCGATTGTTCAACTTCATGGGTAGCATAAGTTATCATGTCGTTAGGTCATAAGAGATTAGCTATGGAAGGTGGACTCTGCAAAAAGTTGGCTGCTATCGCTCTTGAAGGCGTTGAAAATTGTCTAGGTATTGCTATCGAAGCTCAAACTTTCAAGTAAGTTCTACTATCAAACTCCGCTGTCCATGTTGGCCTTTCTTGACCTGCAAGGGGAAACACGACGTCCATTACTAAGGTACCTTACAGTAGGTAGGTAGTACTCTGAAATAGCGAACTATAAACAGGAGCTATCTCAGAATGACCAGATCCAGATACTCTTCTGATACAGACACCTTCCTTCATGGCTCAGAATGAGGTGTTCCGGTAAACTATATATACTTACCTAAGTTATTGACGCCCGTTGAAGTCAATTGACGAAGGCAAGGTTTGACGGACCAATATTCCGTAAACGTTCTTGACCTGATTATAATTTCTGGATTTTCAAAGCGCTTGACATCGAAAGGTTGCTTTCGGTATTTCTTTACCTTAGTCCGTACTTAGGTGCCTCACCAAACTTTTTTATCAATAAATAAACATATTCCAGCTCGTACCTCCTCAAAGTGCGATAATGCTGTGTTAAAAGACACTGACACAGCGGCTTTTGAGTTGGGATAGTTTCAAAGCCAGCTTGGAAATCTGCACTTTCCGATGCGTCCGAATCCTACCACCTCAAACTCGGGTTGATAATTCGAAACTTTGCCATTCCGCTCAAGTTCTCAACACATCAATATCTTCATGAATAGGGTAGATACCTACTAGAGGTCCCTAGGTAGATACCTAGGTAAGGTACCTTCGCCAAGACTACAAGTAACCCTACCGCTGATTTTTCGCAGCGACCGCGCGTAATTACCATTGCCAACCACATTTCTCGAAGCGTATGCGTGCTGAGGTGCCGAGGAGCAGGATTGGATTGAAGCTGCTGTGTTAGATTCGAGACGCATTGATAATAATACTCCAGCAACTCAATTCAATCCCGCTGAGGTTTAAGTTCCATGTGAACAGGCTGACAGATTCGTAGCCGGTCGACTAATAACATGGAGCAATCTCCGCTCAGGCAGAAAGTCAACAGTACAGTGCCAGCCTCATTATCGGAGCCCGCTCCAGATCCCGATTCTGCTCTGCTACCACTGATTCAACCAGACAAGACGTTCTTCAAACGCTTAGATATTGTTCCACGCTCATCTGTGACATTTCAATAATTACCCAAACAGATACTATAAGAATAGCAGATATCCTGCAGAAATCCATCATCAGTCAGGCGGGATAGCCTAGCACATGGCAAGGTCCCACCCGTGCCCGGACACAGATTTACCGCCTGAGGTGAGGCGTCATCAACCTCGATCCAACTACATCAGTCAGTCCACAATGATGCAGACCCCCTCATCTCTTCTCTTTTCTGCTGCCACTTGACTTTGGATCTTCATAATGCTGAGTTGATCAAAGCAAGCCCGTTAAGTAGCCTAACTTGCCCGCGAATTATGTCTGCACATGACGTCTGCTGCGTTGTGTACTATGTAATATCATACAAGGTCGATTGATGAGCCGGTTCTGCTGGATCGATATTGAGCGGCTTTACGATGCACAGGATAAACAACATCGCTTATAAAGAGTTGAGGTTCACAATCCATATTCTAAATCCCAAAGCGAGAGCTCATAGCCAAGAAGTTCACCGAATGAGGCCGCAAGTCTTCGTAGTTCATATATGGCCTGAGCAGGTTCTTGAGGCCAGGACGCAAATGAATCCCGTTCAACTTCTGAATGTTACTCAACTAGATAGCCTATACTATCTTAGCTATAAATAGAGCCCCGGAAACGTCCTCCATTAATATCAATCAACTTACTCTTTTCTTTCAGGACTACGGATATGGGGCTATAAAGTCAGTCACTGTGTCATACCAGAGTATCACTATGCCAGACAAGGGGTGACTCTGATGAGTTTCGGCTGGCGGCTAACAAGGATTATCAACGGGTTCACCTCGGTATCGATACCTCAGCTTTATCTTTAGAAAGGGTACGATGTTCCGTGGCCAACAGCCACTGGCGTGAAGACAGACGTGTCCGAATCGAACACTCTGGGAAAGGCTGCTCGTTGTTCTCACCAAAAGCGAAGACACGATAATATAATATCTAAGCAAAAACATTTCTTATTTACACTCGACTATGCCGTAGCATACAGTTGAGCCACGTTTTCTCATTCTTTGGGTTTCTCTACCCTTCTTTATCAATCTGAATATGGCCAAGTGACAGAAGGATACTTTTGATCATGCAGAGTCTGTCTTTACTCCTCGATCTTAGCCCGTGATGAGACTTGGTACCTAGGAAGGTAAGTTTTCAACTTCCACAATAGTCGATGGGGGACGAGCAGCCCGTCTGATATAAACGAACTGTCCCCTGGAGCTCAGCCACCTCCCTCGTCTTAGGAACCGGACTCTCGCAGCTGGTACCTATCAACCACCAAAACCTTCTAACATACCTGCTCACAGTCACATGTTCGCACATCGATGCACCTATTCCAACGCAGCACTAGCTAGAGGGGATGGGTAGGTAAGAATCACTACGTTCCACTGGAGTGCTAATTAAGAGAGGAACCGCTGTGATATGAACAACATGATGCAGGTGATAGTGACATTCTGAGCATTGTCACGTTGGTGGTGGTCTACAGTAGCCTGTCCTCTTGTACTGTTGGTAATTGGACAGAATTCACTCGTGAATGATTTGATAGGCCAGTGACAATAGATTCCTCATGCCAAAAGATTTTACGCACTTCTGATAATAATGCCTGGAAATTACATTGTATGGTATGTCGTTCAGTATGTCATGCTAAGGTGGGTGGTCTCCTACACTCGAATATCAAGATCAGTATTGATCCTTTTTCGTAGAAAATATCACTCGACTACCAGGGTATGGGCTGTTGTTATTCGAGGCTTCGCCACAAGATGGTTTCTTGGGATTTGTCACGGCAAATTTTATGCCGACGTGGCCTACGTCATAGCATCACTGGCGTTAATCAAGAATACCTAAGGTACTCCGTAGTAGGTAGATATTCGTGACAGGTAGCGAAGGCCTCACGTTACTTGGAATTATTTATGTGGCGCATATCTACGACGACTTCTGTGACGACCTTACTTGTTTATTTTCTCCCTCCTTCAGCTACATATTCTCTCAGCTAACAGAACGCGAACTCGCGAATTCTTGAGTCACCGACAAAACTACATCTAAAACTTCTCTCAGCCTTGCATTGACGAGTCGCAACCATGGGTGCTATTTCTGCCGTCTTCCTTATCCTCATTACAATTTTCTGTCAGTCGCATACTCCTCCTGATCGTATAATGCAAAGTAGGACTAATGTGGTAGCAGTCCCTCCCATCGGCGTCTGGGCCGTTGCAGGATGTGGAATGGGTATGTAACACATCTCTTGATCTGGCTACACTCATATGCTAACTTTCTCAGATCTGTTCATCAACATCTGCTTGACCCTTCTTGGCTTCATCCCAGGTCATATCCACGCCTTCTACCTTGAGTACATCTACTACGATCGCCGTGAACAGGCGCGCGAGGGCCGTTTTGCGACAGGACCTGCGCCCGGCATTTACTCCGACAACGTGCAGACTGGTGGACAGGGCTATGGAACAATGGGGCGCGTAGCATGAAATGAATAGACGTTGGTGGTACTCGACTCTACCTACTTATGGGCTGTATTCGAACTCAGGCGAGTTTGTTTGCATCAACTGGGTCTTGCATGGGTATTCCCCGACATCGGCTGCGATAGAGGTGGTGCAAGGAGCTGATGCCTGCCTAACTTTGGGGTTATACAGATCAACTGGTCTGGTGTAAGAACGGCGACGCAATATCAATACGATGTTAGTACGCTAATGTCGAAAGACCTTAGAGAGTGTTGAATTCAAGTTAGATTTCGATATTAGTCCATGCTGGTAAGGGAAGGGGTTGAAATTCAATTACAGAGAGAGGATAACAAAACGTCTGTATGTACTCCGTACATATAGTCCGTATTGTTGGACATCCCTGCATGTAAAATTGAATGGCATTAGGAACGTACTGGGAACTAAATGGACAAAATTTGCTGCGTAATGACTTGGAGGTGTGAGTTGTCCGCCTTGGCTATCCCGGCATGTGCATTGATATGTGCATATTATCCATACATATGTCGTGCCAACGTAGTTGACAGAAACGGGTTCAAATATACAACACACCGACACACGATCCAATGTGTAGATCCTAGTTCTTAGGCCTATCATCCGTTCGTTTCGCCAAAGTAAAGTTGATAGGAAAACCCAGCTTTCGACATGTTGGACATTTGTGAGCAATGAATGTTCTTATCGAGGTGGTTCAAGGTAAGTACCTAGGTATACCTCAGGTCGGGATATGTTGCTTTAGAGCTTTACTGTACTCCGTAGACATGGAAGCCAATGAAAGACAATGCGGGGACGTCGCTCGAGACCAGCTTGATCCTTTCACTGAGTGAGTGCCTAATTATCGACAGCCACGACACTCATGCATAAGGGCCAAATTTAGGTTGTCCTGATTGGCTTCGCTACTTCCTATCAGCCTCAAGAATGAATATCAATGGACCCGGAGGGAAAAGCAATGAAACGCATGTGAGAGAAAAGACCCCCTCTTTCTTTCCTTTATTTTCCAAGAAACCCTTTGCTCTTGCAGCTTGCGGTCTCAGATACAGTGTTATGAAGTAAGTGGAGGTACCTAGGTACCTAGCTTCAAGTTAAAGGCCTGCCTGGCTGTACAGCTAGCATCCCCTTCAACATTGGAGGTACCAATTCGACACTCAACCTGACTTATTGCCTCTCCTCTCCTCCTGCAATCTCATCATCTATCAGCTCTCATCCCACATCTCCACCAAGAACAAACTAAACCCTTTGCCTTACTAACTACGCCGTATTTGTAGCCGAAGAGTGCCATACTGTTCTTTTTGCTACTGTCTGTTGCATCTCCTGCATCCATCGACCCACTGCACCGCGTCTTGCATCAACGGCTTGACCGTCAGCCAAGACAGGACGAGACAAGACAGAATTGATAAACCAAAATCCATGGTTTTACGTTTTGCTGCCTTGCTGGCTCCCATCACTCGCTATTCATTGTTTTAGCTGGCCAATCCATACAGCCTCTGGGTCGATGCGCCAAATTGTTCAGAGCACATCATTCCTGACATCCATTAGGTACCTACCTTGCTGGAGCTAGCCCAAAGGTACTAAGTTTTCTACTCCCTACACTTGCTTCTTAACCGCTGCATTTGCAGCTAATCCCCGGGACACCTTGCATAGGTATCCTAGACCGACTGTTGACCACGACAATCATCATCCCAACAGCTTCCCCATTCCAGCGTTCGCTTGCCACCCTCAAGTGTACACGTCTGTGCAGATACTAGCTACAAGGCCATATGCAAAGTTCGAGTATACTACGCTATCGCCCTGCCGCTTCGGAGCGTCCAATGCCAGCCCAATTGGTGTACACCTGGGGTGACATTTGCGCTTGACCCGAATCAACACCTCGCTCTATCGCCTCCAACTCCCATACTTGTATACCAAAACCAAGCACACCACACACCACACTCACACTATATATACACGGAGTCAGGTCCCAATTCACCATCATGCGATCCCCTTCTCCAGAGGAGCTCCCCCAGCCGCCCCAAATCCATCAACACAAACCATCTCGACACCACGCCTCTACGTCAACCTCATCAACACCGGCCCTCAGCAAACAACGTCCACACTCTCTTCAATTCTCCTTCCCACCCCTGTTCCAGACGAACGCCTCATCGACGAGCCTAGTGCCCTCAAATGCAGAGGGAAAACCCATTCCCGTTGACAATTCAACTGCTGAGCATCGAACGTCGGCTCTTCGAGAGTTGAATAGTAATTTCCCCACTCGTCATCGATACGGACAGTCTACTGGTGCCCAGAGCAGTACCTATTCCCAGCCTGTGATCGTGCGAAGTTACTACGCTCCTGTACCAGCACAGCCTGCGGACAGAGGAGTCATTGTTGTCAACGGTCGAGGGCACCGCTCAGCACTCTCAGAAAGTAGCGGCCCTTCAGCTTTCGTACGACGAGTGCTGCCTTTCGGTGCAGGTTCTGCCTCGGTCCGGAATGGAATTATGGGTACAATGGCGAGAAATCGAACAAAGAAACGACTCGAGAATGAACCAGAGGAGCCAAAACTTCCATCTGTCGAAGCCTTCCGCTTCAAAAGCTTCATGGCTAATCTAGAAGACCAGAGTGGTGGTACTGATATAAATGCTGATCTGGACCGTATCGCAGAGATCTGTGCTAAATCACGATACTCTCTTAGCAACCAGTATGAAGTTCATTATGCTCCCCATGGCTCAGGCTCGTCTTTTATGGCTCCAGCTATTGAGAGTCAGGAGGCTCATGGACCCACCCTTCAAGCTGTGTCATCCGATGATGAGAGGAACATCAAACAATCTAGAAAACGACCGATGGGCGTGAGGAGGAACAGCAGAGCCATGGGGACATTGGAGACCATAATGTCATCGAGTAGATCATCGGATGAAGATAAATCGAAGAAGTCCGCTGCAGAGATTGCCGAGGACGTTCGCGGCAGAGCCGCACAAAAAGGGTCCAGCAAACACGGATCATCGGTCTCGTCTGAGGGAGGAGCCAGCGAGAACGTGTTCCTGGAAGAGGAGGATGTAAGACAGCGGTCACCTCGCCAAAAACGGTCTGGTTCATTGGCCCTCATTGATGGCAATCGGTTGAGCATGCACCTCCATGATTTGGATTCGAGTCGACTCACGGCTGCTGGTCTTGTCAGTGAGCCTGCCTTACCTCAAACATCAAGCAGTCAACTCGAAATCCGAACAGCACCTGAGGTAACAAACAAAGAGCATCTTCCTGGTATACCAAAGAAGGGCCTTGCAGCTACAGAAGGACTTGACCAGCCGGTCGTCCATGGCTCTATATCTGCAATCGAGACATCTAACCAAAGGAGCAATTTGATGTCCACGCTTAGTGGTTGGATGACTTGGCGTTCGCCTGATACTTTGCCAACGATTAAGGGCCGTGCGGAGGTTAGTCTACGTGAGCTTCTGAAAACTCGAGATATTAAAGGAAAAGGTGTCGAGGCGGCGGCGTATCAGTAAAGAAGAAGACGAAGCTCAAACAAGAGGAACACAGCACTCTTGTTCAAAGACATACCCGCATACTTAAAAAGGGCAGTTGGGTTGGGTAATCACCCAGGATTCAACGTCCAACAATGATGTAACGAATTACTCACGATTTCACGAAGCCAATAATGATATGATTAGGGATGGGACAGATACAGAGAAGTCAAAAGTATGAGATCAGATCGAGCTGTATATGGAAATCCAAAAAAGGGCCGGCAACAGCAGCAAGTTACATTTGTATGATAGGACGTCTTCAATGACGACCCAAGACAATAGGTAAGCCGGAATATCTTTGCTGGCATAGGGAGTCCCAGGACTCGTCGCATATAAATAAACTTCAATGGTGCACTTAGTTGGCGGCGATTGTCAGGATGGCTTAATACAAATTAACGGGTTTTCGCTGTCTAATTTTCGCCCCCTGTCTTTGATTTACTGTCTTGGTCAGTTCTATATAGCAACAATACTTTGCCATGCCTTCGTCAAAAAAAAATTCTGTCCTCGCTCTATGGCCACTGCCTATCCAGTGCCAATAGGCAGGATGGGAAAAAGAAGGCGATGAAGCCGGCAAAATAAATAGAAACCCATGCTTCAGGTTCCAACATGAGAAGTCATGAAGCCACCAAAACTCAAAAGAAACGAAGAATGATATTTTAAAACAAAAACGCCAGTCCACTGATTTGGTCGCCTTGGCCTATGGGGAAACGCCCAACAAGAGGACGGGGAACGTCGAATTGCCTTGAAGACTCCTGCAGATTGGGTAATGCCGTCTGGGTTCAAAAGTACCAAATGTGTAGCCGAGGAGTGATCGTTTCGAATTATAAATCAAGGTATCATGAACATTACGCTTTAGAGGTCGAATTCGGTGGTGCGACTACCGGCGTGGGCTTGTTCCCACCATTCTTGTCAACCTGTAACCGCTTTGTGTCGCGCTGGTCGGTCCCTTCGTTAATGCGCTTCTTATCCTTCTCTTTGTCCCGCCCGGCATTCTCTTTAGCCAGCTTTTTGGCCTCTCTCTCCCGTCGATCGTTTTCCTTCCTCAGGGCTTTAGACTCGAATTCATGCCAGTCGTTATGTGTTGCGAGTCTACGGATTGGTTAGTTAGTGATGCTTGTCATATGCAAGCTTGATCGACTTACTCTGTTGCCTGGCGGGCTGCTGGTGCTTCATCCGTAAAGTATGCATGTTGGAGTACCTGTGCAGCGCTGGGCCGTTTTACAGGGTCGTAACGGAACATGGCAGAGAGCAGGTCGAAGGCGGCTGGTGACATCTTCTCACGGTACTTCTCTGCGAAGACATTCCTTCTCTTCACAGTCGGGCGCAAAAGTTCAAACCAAGCCATATCAATGAGATTGGGCCAGTCTTTCAAGTTCGGCGTGCCCATTACGTTGTAGATCTTTTCCAGTTGGCTAAGCTCGGTTCCGTCACCTGGGAAGATGGCATTTCGATCAAAAATCTCAACCATGACGCATGCTGCACTCCAGACATCAACAGCAGCAGTGTACTTAGTCTCGCCAAGCAAAAGCTCTGGTGAGCGATACCAGATGGTGATGACTCGATTGGTGTAGTCCAGCTGGTGGCGCTTCGCGTAGAATCGGGCGAGGCCAAAATCAGCAATCTTGAGGACTCCCTCGTTACTGACGAGAATATTTGCGGCCTTGATATCGCGATGGAGTACTCCTCGCGTATGGAGATAATCCAAACCCTCGAACATCTGTTTGGCGAGGTCTTTCTTTTGAGCTGTCTCCAGTTTGAATGTAGGGTGATTCAGTAACCCCGTGAGGTCATGCGACAGGTACTCAAACACCATGAAACAATCATTCTTTTCGACCATAACCTCCTGAAGATTGACGATATTGACATGCCTGAGAGACTGAAGAAGCTTGATTTCTCGGATAGCTGTGACGGGAAACCCATCGCGCTCGCCTTCCATTCGAATTCGTTTGAGGGCGACCATCCCCTTTGTGTAAACATTGAGGCCCTTGAAAACTTTGCCATAGGTACCAGAGCCAACGACTGATTCGTTTCCGGGTTTTCTGAAGAAGACAGAATCCGAGTCTACCAGATCAGCTGGGAGAGTCGGTCTTGGCTTCGGTCGCTTCATGATTTTCATCACCTTACGCATACGGGGCGCAACTCTAGGGCCTTCGGGAGGATGGCGGCGCTCGTGGCGTGGCCGAGAGGAAGCTGGCTCTGTTGGTGCACTTCGGGGAGGTTCGCGCTCTTGATCTCGGGCTCGATCTCTGTCTCGATTCTCAGGCTGGGGTTCTCGCCGAGGAGCAGCATTCAACTTTTGTGATATCTCAGGCTTTGGGGCAGTGACCGCTGGCTTTGATGAAGGCTTGAAGGCAAAACTGAACTTGCTACCAGATGAACCTCCTGGACCAGATGGGGGCGGTCTGTTGGGGGTAGTCAATGGGTTTGCTCTGTCTTGAACACTCTGGCTGATGTCTTCGCCCAATTCATCTTGAGACTGTGATACTTCTTCCTGAACATCCATAGGCTCAGGGCCTGCATTTCCGTGGTCGTCCACATTGCTGAAGCGTTCATTGCCTAAATCGTCGCGGTATCCCCTTGAAGGAGGCCCAGAGTTCCAATGAGAATTCTTGAAGCTACCTCTCCCACGACCTCGAAAACCGCCACCTCTGTAGCCACCGCGGTAGCTTCCCCCCTGAGGGTACTGCTGCATCGGGCCTGTCGGAGCGGCGTATGGTGGTGACCGCGTAGTATTGGAATGATAATGGCTAGAAGGGCCACTTGGGGGACCGTGACTACTCCCCTGAGGATATTGAGGAGGGTAGGACCTAGAATGGCGTCAATAGACGATTTCATGTGTGCTTGTCGCCAGGGTCTACTTACTGGTGACCATTCCATCCACCACGCGATGGTCCGTACGGTGACCGTGAAGGCGAGTTATGGTACGAAGCGTGTTGGGGTGACGGGGAATACGGGTCATTAGTGATATGTGATTTTTGGTGATACTTCGGGTTAAAGCCTCCACGAAGATTGCTTCTGGAGGTCATATCTTCGTCAATATCGGACCTCGAAGAATGACGCCAACCCGGCGACCCTTCTCGAGATCTCCGTTCCCTACTTGCTTGAGGTGATCGTGGTGGAGGTTGTCGCCGTGAGGAAGTCCGCTCAAGACCTGACGTCCGTTGATCCTCGCGAGATGATGCACGAGCTCGTCGGGATGAAGCCAAGTGGTGCTCTGATGTAAGCGATCGGCTTCGTGACCGTGGCGGAGGTCGGTCCAATTGTGACTGAGCCTCTCGGTCTGCCCGTCGCGAACCCGAGTCCGACTTTGCTGGAGATCTAGGTCGTGAACGTGTGGGGGATTTAGAAGATCGTGCTTGTTGGCGAGGCGATGATTTACGTCGGTCGCGTGAGGAGTGCCTGACGTGCTTCCTAGATGGAGACCCCAGGCTGATGTCCCTTGTTCTTGACCTTGGGCTCCTATTTCTTCGGGTTCTCTTTCGATTGGAAATGGTCAAAGAAGGGCTCCGACTTCGATGTCGTTTGGCTGCCGAGGGCGACGCCCTGCTGATATAGTCGTGGCCTGGGCTTCGGCTCTGGCTTCGCCGTGGAGGCTTCTCCTCGATTTCGCGATGGCGTTCTCGATAACGCGGAATAAGATCTTCAACTTCTGGTACTCGACGTGATATTTCGGGCGATAGACGAGAAGCGCGATCACGACTACGATCGTGCGAATGGCGACGACGGCGAGATGAATGAGAATCTGGTCTTGTGAGTGGGCGGTTGCGGCGTGCGTCGGAATCGTGGCGAGAATCGCGAACTTGACGGGGAGACCTTGATCTCTGTGAGGGCTTCATTCCTCGCTCATGTCGAGCCCGTTCTCCTTGGTCATTGAGTTCTCGCTCGTCTCTCATGGCAGCATCTTGACGTCGACGTGGAGGTTTGGATGCGGTCTCCATCAGTGCAGCTGGGCGTCGAGTTTTCAGTGGTTACTTAGGGGCCGCACCTTAACCGGTGGGAATGACCAGGTAGGTAGGTACCTGGAGCCTTGACGTCGGTGACCCGCTAACTATCAGTGGCCCCGAGTGGTCGGCGCGGGGAATTTAACATGCAGGCTTTTTGGCCCAATGCAGGTCGGGGATTTTTTGTCATCTGCAAAATCAGCGCGATTGACGCAAAGGAAAAGATAAGGGGGGGAGGGAAGGGAAGGAAAGGAAAAGAAAAAGAAAAAGAAAGAAGGAAGCCAAGGATTAGGGTAATACAAGTTTTGCGTGAGTTGCCTTGTCAGGATTTGTTGATAGGTAGTTCAGGCTCGCCCGAAGTAAACTCATGTCCTAAAGCACCAGAAGTTGGTGATAGGCGCAGAAATCATCGAAATGGGCAGATGTTTCAAGCTCTTGATGAGCTTGATCAATTTCCCGGGGTACATGCACTTGCACGCTCTTCCAGCTCTCTAGGCGTAATTCTTTCGCCAATGCACTGGCTATTGTGCGGCTTCCGTCCAGAGATCTTTGCAAATATCAAGCGCCTTGGTGTTAGCTGTTGATGGTTGGATCGGTTGGGTTAACCCCCAATGGTTCCACCAGGTGAGAGACAGCATGGCCTCATCGTATCGCTGCTCGCAAAAGAGCAAAAGAACTATATACGGATCCATGTGGATAATTTACGACAGTCCAAATCACGACTGTGACTTCCTCTTAACACGTCAATGCTCGTCCAACAAAGCCATCCGGTACTTCGAGCATGAAGAAACACCACGGCGACGCAAAATCCACTCGCTGCGTCTGAAATATTGGTTTATGCTCTCGAACAAGAAACAAGAGCCAGTAAGCCTGCCAAATTCTGAGAACAGAGTCATGCTGCCATAGATTATCGACCCTTTTCAGACGACTCAATTCGGACGTCATCCAAGACCATATTAGCACGTTTTGCCGGCATGGCGAATCAGAATTGAATCATGCAACGAATTACCCCTTCAGCCATTTAAGTGACGCCCGAATCAGTGCGCAGCGTTGGTTGGTTGTATGGACCGCAAGGCAGAGTTTCCTATGCCCGCGGCAATGAGGGACCAATGTTAATGAACCGAGTGTTGAAAGGCTTCAGCGTACGAAGCACATCGCAGCAACCCAAGCAAATCCATGCAGGAGAACGAACGAGACTCTGGTGCAAGATGGATAGGCTGTGATAATTCTAGCCAGCACCTTAAACAGACCAAACTGAAGTAGGAGCGAGTTTTCCAGTGTTTCGGTTTTATGAATGAAGTTCCAGTACACGTGGGGATTTTCGAATGCGTTTGAGCAAGTTGCATTTAGCTGCTGGTTCATCAAACAAGGCGTATGGAATGGCGACGAGGTTGAATGGTGTGCTTATGATGGTTCGGATTGCCGGGAGGGGATGGGAGCACTATATAGTGCGGTCGGTCGATAGACGGTTCATTTCATTTCGTGGTCAGCCTGGCCAAATGGAAATTGCAAGCCATTTTGATATCATCATCCAGGCGTCGTCTATTATCGCAGTATCAGAACAGCAGCTAGTTGGTCATCTTCTGGCGATTGTGACTGGGTGTAGGTTGATGGTTGGATCCTTGTTGTGGGAGTTCCAGAGCGCCGGGAAGAGCAAGCGTCTTGGTCACGTGAAAACACAGATGCACGTGGCTTTCCCTTGGTATCACAACCTGGAAAGAAGCTGAACGGTTCGCCACCAACCGAACGGTGGATTGGAGAATATCGTTGAGAACATGTCTTGAAGAGCATTGTCATTGCAATTGAATGTGCTGAACATATGATATCTCTAATTGCATGAAGACTCGTGACGAGACCATACGCCCTAGGTACTAACCTAGTACCTAAGGTACTAAGTTATATACAACAGTACGTATCCGTACACAGGTACTCCGTACCCGGTGGGTTGAGAATGCCCACCTCTAAAGAGGTGGTGTCAAAACCTCGTAACCAAAATAAAACTGTAACTTTTTGTTAGCTTATATGAATTATTATAAAGTAACAGAAATAATAGATCAGCCCCTAAGCTAGTAACAGCACGGTATATACTGTATAACAGTATTTTTGTCACCTTATAGTAATTTATATAGGTTGACATTGGTTACGGTTTGAAATAGGTAGGTACTAAATTAAGAAGGGATTGAGTTTTGTCTCTTTTAATACAACCTCGTTTCCAGCCTCATCAATGTTCATCGCCCTCAGGGAGCAAGAAAACTTAAGACTTGAAAAGAATGCTAAAATAAACTTAGTAAAGAGTCCCCTAAGTTTAGGCTAGACTTACCTAAATTTATTACATCCTTAGGGTTAAGGTCGTGAGTTTTCTTGCCTCTGTACCTACCTTACGGATAATCACTGTCATTTGTACCCTCAGCTGCCCTACCTTACCTTATAATAAGGTACATTTTTTAGGAGGCTCGTTGCTTCCATAGGTATGATGGAAATCGCCTAAAATCGTGCCTCGGTTCTTTGACCATTGTGACCCCACTTGCCGAGCGCCAGGTCAGAAGTTAAAATGCAAGTCTCAGATGGGCGAGACCAACGCTACATCAGTCTTGTTCTAAAATAAAAGTCTTCAACAAAGACTCTTCCATAGAGTCATCTAGAAGTAAGGCGGGAATTAGATCGATATTGTGATTTTCATAAGTGAAATAGTAAACGCGCTTGTCGCACGCAAGATTTAGATATCTGAATCCTTCACTTGGTAGAATTTAGTTGATAACCAAGAAGATCTTCACATAGTAATAAATGATAACAGCCCGACGTACAGATCTGTCCATGCAGGTCATGCCAGTGATGGTTATCTCGGCCAACGGAACGGGTGTATCCACCGTAGGATCAACTAGTTAGAACCAGGCTACCTATACCTCCTAAGTTAGTAGGTAGCCAGGGCATGGAAGTCGTTCCGTTTCGTCGTCGGAGGATGGAGGGGCAATTTGCTGGTTGATGAATGCCAAAAAATTTATTACTACATCCATATCCTTACTCCCTTTCAGTTGTATCCGCCTTCGCTTGTGGTCGACTCCTCTCTTCTCTTCACGCTGATCTAAAATTGTTTCGCATACATCGGTCACGGCTTGTACGGATCTCATCATGGAGTGGCTAGGACACGCAGAACTCAACTTCACTCATGCGCCGTCACCACGAAAGGTGCAAGAGAAAGATGGCAATGTCACCGATCTCTTATCCATCTGCGAAAAGGCAACACCGCCATGCCGGCTGAACCCACTACTCTTCAATGGCCATCTGCAGACAATGTGGACAGCGACCAAACCTGCTGGACCAAAGATTTACTATAAACGCAAGATTTTTGACGCTGACCACAAGATCTACCATGGAACATTCGCCGTGGACTTTGCTGTTGAGCCTTTTGAGGCCCCTGAGGACCCTTCATTGTCTCGACGAACAGCATACTTCACTCCAGAAGAGTTTGAGCATATCGGGTCAGACGACTGCAAGCCCATGCTTGTTGTCCTGCATGGTCTTTCGGGTGGTTCCCACGAGATCTACCTTCGACATACCATTGCGCCATTGATTGGCGAGGGCGGCTGGGAAGCCTGTGTTGTTAACTCGCGAGGTTGTGCGCGAAGCAAGATCACCAGTGGTGTCTTGTACAACGCTCGAGCGACATGGGATATTCGTCAGGTAAAGGATACTCATGCTTAAAAAAACATCCCACTAACATTCATCCAAGACAATAAAGTGGTTACAGAAAACTTTCCCTAACCGACCTCTGTTCGGTCTAGGGTTCTCTCTCGGAGCGAACATGCTCACCAACTATATAAGTATCACTTCCCCGAATTTTGGCTCCGTCTAACACAAATTACTGTGGCGAGGAGGGTCCCAACTGTGTCCTCAAGGGAGCAGTTGTATGTAGCAACCCATTCAATCTAGATGTCTCCAGCAAGATCCTACAGAACAGCTACATCGGCAAGGAAGTTTATCTTCGAGTCATGGGCAGTGAGTCGACATACTCATACGAAGTTCATTTAAAGCGCTTGCTGACGTTACCAAGGTGCTCTGAAAGAACTCGCTGCCACACATAGAACCGAGTTGGAAAAGTACAGCAAAATCGATGTCGAGGCCGTGATGAACATCACGTATCTCTATGAGTTTGATCGCCTCATCCAGTCAGTCTCTTCTCTTCCCTCTATTCCGACTGTTGATTGACTTTGCCAGATGTCCTTCTTGGGGGTATCCGACGGAGAGTGCATACTACCGCGATGCTTCATCGGTGGATTCCATACTTTCCATCGAGATTCCTTTCCTAGCTGTCCACTCAACTGATGATCCGGTAAGGACTCCGGGTTTTTGCTCTATTGTAACTTGTCAACCATTTCTGACCGTCCCAAGATTGCTGTCAAGGAAGCTATTCCCTATGAAGAATTCAAACAGAATCCCAACACTGTCCTTCTCACCTCTAGCCTGGGAGGACATCTGTGCTGGTTTGAAACCTCGGGCGATCGTTGGTTTACCAAACCTGTAAGTTCTTATTGGTGATAATCGCTAGACGCCAAAATTAATATTTATAGGTTGCCAACTTCTTGAACCATCTTGCTTTCAAGACTGATCTCAATGATCTCAGGCCTCTCGTTAACCCCAACAACAACGATCATTTAGCCGACGGACATGGCTACATCCCTATGCGACGCAAGCTAGTCATAGTGGAAGACTAAGTAGCAGGTTTGATACAAAGTCGACACATTCCAAAGAGCTCCAAGAAGGGCCCCCTCGACGCAATTGATGACCACAAGTAGATTGGCACAGTATAGACATCTATAGAAGCGCGTTCATATATCATAGATTTGACACAGAATATTCAGAGCTAAAAGCTCAAAATGAGCCCGATCATTCCATCCAATTGAGATGCATCCGAAGGAACAACCATGGTTCGAATACGGTCCTGTGCTTTTGTACCGCTGAATCTCCAGAAACCACCAGAAATCATGGTATGACCTCAGCCTATCTATCAAACTCCATGCGCCAAACAATGCAAAACCTCCGAAAACTTTTGCCATATTATCGGTTGAGGGCCTAGGCGAACGATACTCGCTTCTTGCCCTTTGCCTTTGTCCCCTTGCTACCGCTCGTGGTGAACTCCTTGCTATTGTCCTCTTCATCATTTGTGCTCTTGCGCTTTCTCCTCTTTCGGAGAGAGTCTTTGGTATCCTCAAGTTTCGACTGCTTTTCTTGTTCTTTCTTCTCGGCCTCGGCCTTGCGCGCTTCGCGAATTTCTTCCATCTGACGCTGTTTGATCATCTTGGACTCGATCTGGCCATCCTTCTCCGCCTGGACGAGGGCCATGATAGTACTCATACTTTCCTGGAGAGGTAGTAGGTTAGAATTGCGCAAGGACGTTCAAGGCCATAACTTCTTACCTGATCATCAGCAAAAACCTTGCCTTTCTTCTTCCCACGAGGCTTGATAACGCCCACAGGCGTGACAGTGTTGAGTTCGGGAATACCCAACTGTTGGTCCGTATACTTCTTCTTCTTAGGGTTCTTGAACTTTTGCAGAAGTGCCTCGCGACCCTTGTCTTTGACCTGCTTGCTCAACGTGGGACCCTTTGACTTCTTTGACTTAGCAATGCCATCGGTGGCGGAGCGCTTGGAAGTTTTTGCAGCACCAGGAGCAGCGGCGTGCTTGTTCTTGATGGTCTTTGTTCGTGTGACGCCCATTGCGACAGTGGTGGAGGTGTGCACTTGAAATTTATCCGCGGTACCTGGTTTGAGTGTTGTTGGCCTACCTAAGCCTTGGAATATTTTTTTCCTGGAGTAATGTGATAAGAGGTCGCGATAAGAAACTTTTTAGGCTGTGAAGTGGGGCCGAGTGGATGAGCCTAGAAAGGGCGATTGGTCTCGTCTCAGCCAGCTTTGATGAAACTCAAATTCATACGGAGTACAGTACTAAGGTACCTAAGGCTAGGGGAGAAAAGAAAACCCAGGACCTCGATCCTAAAGAATAAAAGGCTTAGGTAATTTTATATAACTTGAGTATATATTTAGGATAAATTTAGGATACATTTTACTAAGTTTATTTTAATACCTTATATCAAGGTGTGATATTTTCTTGCTCCCTGAGGATCAGATGTGGTAAATAGGTACCTAGATAGGTAGGTACCTTATGCAGCAATCATAGATGAGCTGTACCTGTTTGCGACCGCTAGGTCGTTACCTAGTAACGTACCTGACAGAGTGAGTACCATACTTTACACGAGGGAGAAGTCAGGTGGTAGCAGATCTGAAAATACCTTACCCGATATGAATGTCGGATAAGAGCCTCTAGGTAACTGCCAGGCGCTTTTATCAATTATATATTACATGATTTTTATATTATTCGACGAACACAAGTGTAAAACTCGTCACAGAACTGTACTTGAAGGGTCTGGTCCTGGTATCCAGGATAAGCGAATCAAGACTCATAGGAGATTCATGATGCCACGGACCTACAAGCCATGATCATTCCCTCAGCCGTGGGTAGGGGTTTTGCATATATCAAAACCTGGTTTCTTTCGTTTATCTCACATGTTCAGAGCCCAATGTCACTGTCAACCCCAAGGGAACAACCCACAAGTCGATTTACTAAGATCTTTTGAAAACACTAATCAACCTCATTGTATTATTATGCCGGGAAGGAAACAGCTTTGACCTTTCTCAACAGATCTCATAATTAAGGAACAGGAGTTCGGTCATCAGTGCCAGTCATGAGGAAACGATTAATAGGTGTCTTGGATGAAACTCAAGGACATATCGCCATAGTGTTACTCACTTGTGCATGTTGTTTTCGAAATTCTGACGCGGCTTGCGGGAAAGGTAATTTCATTATTCCACATTTTTTACCACCTCGACCAGTACCAGTTATGAGCCTCAACCTCTCAGGCTAGGTCAAGCTACCTCAGTTGACATTGACATCCAATCCCACTACTTGGCCACAGTCGTCATTTTTTGGGTAACCTCTAACGTAAGGTACCTACTAACCTAGATCGCCTCGGTAAGGTATCCAATGTACTGCTCTGTACTCCCTAGGTAGACAGACTCCGTATGATCGGTCATGATTTCATATGCGAACGGAGCCTGGGGGCTGGGGATGGGCCGTTGGACAGGCTTTTCGCAGCCTCCATGACTGGAGTGTTTTCCAGCGAGATGGGTGCTAGCTTCCAGGGCTCGCGATCCGACAGGGGCCACGGTGAGTAAATGTTAAGTACATGACCCTATGAAGATAGCCGTGAGGCTACATAAAAAGTACACAGGCCTGCCAGTGCTGCTCGGATTTTTTTAGTACAAAGGTAACGTTAGGCAGGCTAGTGATTTAGTGGTAGGTGGGCTGTCAGAAATTCTTCCATACCTTCAACATACTATCTTTCCCACTTGCAACTCTTCCGAATCAAAAATCCCAAACATACAACTTCACCTTTGACGTTCCAACCTCTTCAGCTCTTTTCTGTAATACGTACTACGACACTGCGAAATAACACAACGTCACGAATTCGCCTATAACTGTATCATCTTACAATATCTTTCGACCTTGAACAAATCTCGCCGTGAATCTACTGATCAGCCCCCCCTCAACCTTGAGACAGTGTAACTCCCAACGGCCAACATCACGAACATCGACCACTATTTCTACTAAATCGACACCGACACTACCAGCCGCAGTCTATAAGTGTATCGACGTTGCACACGCTTTCTCCGATTCTGCCCCTGGTCTATTCAAGGCGTCCTTACCAGGTCTTCCCCGCCCTCTATTGATTTGTCGACGGACCTGTCCCATTCGGTCTTGATGGATACCAGCAACCTCTGGTCCCGCCGCACAAAGTAAGTTGCACATTCACCTACAATATGGAGTTCTTACCAACGCCTTCTTAGCACCGGCAAGCTTTCCCTCTCAACACCCGGACAAGGGTCCAGTGGTGACTCCTTCAATCGCAATGCCTCATTCCCCAAGCGCCAAGGTGGCGATACTCCTTCATCGACTAAACCGAACCCTTTCAATACCACACCTGGAGGTCTAGTGTCACCCACGAGCGGTGCCTCTAGTGCTTTTGGCCTAGGCTCTGGAGCGTTTGCTTCGTTTGGGTCGGCTAAAACCCCGAAGACTTCGGCCAACCCTTTCGATACTGCCATGGCATCAGCGGTAGTCAAGTCCGGCACGAAGGACCCATCTAAGAGTGCGGGTAAAGGATCCGGCATGACTGCGATTTCTGAGAACCAGTCTGGGGTATCCGCGGCAAATCCTTCGCATGCGTTAGTTGATTCATGGACATTTTGGTACCGACCACCGATCTCGAAGGCACACGGCTTCATCGAATATGAGAAGACGCTACACGAGATCGCAACTGTACGGACTGGGGAAGAGTTTTGGGAGATCTATCGTCACCTGAAACGTCCCTCTACACTCCCCGTTGTCTCTGATTTTCATCTTTTCAAGAAAGGCATTCGCCCAATATGGGAGGATGATGTTAACAAGAAGGGAGGAAAGTGGGTGGTTCGGATGAAGAAGGGTGTAGCAGACAGGTACTGGGAAGATCTCATTCTCAGCCTCATTGGTGATCAGTTTGCCGATGCTAGCGATGATGTTTGTGGTGCTGTGTTGAGTGTTCGCAATGGAGAGGACATTCTCAGCATCTGGACTCGCACTGATGGGGGTCGAGTCATTAAGATTCGGTAAGTTTCAATGGCGTGTAATCGACTTCCTCTGATTTTAGCTAAATGGTGAACAGCGAGACGATGAAGCATGTCCTTAACTTTCCAGCAAGCACTCGCATCGAATTCAAGAGCCACGATTCTAGCATTCAACAACGAACAGCCATTGAGGAGCAGCGCCGCGAAAAGGCTGGCCAACATCACCACCACGACAAGCGCCACACAGGCGGACCCTCGAAGCAGGCCGCTGAACAGTCCCACCCTTAGGAGATTGAAGCGCGCTCTTGGAAACCCATCTCGGTGTAGTCTTTGTATTGTATATCATGAGTGCCTTCAAACGTCAGCGTTGAGTGGCATATTCTTTTTGCTCGTTCTGTTCCTTTGTTTCCACAATCACCTTGGGGCGGAGTTGGAGAATTCTTCTGGATGGGGCTGTGATACCGTGTTTATGAGGCTTAGGGTAGGTGGACTGGACAACTAGATATGAGACATCGGCTGCGCACGACGGGCGAGGTCACGGTGACGACCTTGTTTATGAACGATGTATTACTAGCTGCGTATGATCGGGTACGGTTCGCCATAGCGTATTTCAGCGAGAGCTATAGTTCAAAGAGCGAGCTTGTGTAGACCTTAAAACGGGGTCTCAAAATAAACTCAGCAAAAGGTATCCTAAAATCATCCTAAACTTATGCTTAGTTACCTGAGTCTTATCGTTAGCTGATATTTCTCTCCCAGGAACGAGTGAATCGGATCGTAAAGTTGTGGTATTAAAAATCTATTGTATATGCGCGGATGGAAGCTCACTATTGGTGGTATTTACCGTCATAGGGCCTTGCCTTTAACCCTGGGATCTCTCCTCCGTTCCCAGATCTGGAGATAGGCCTCACCAAGATATAATAGCTCGCTCTGTACTTTATCAACATATAAATCTTGACAGACCACCCATTCACCCGTTGCCTTATTCTTCAGCTGAACCTTCCATGTCTTACGTTCCTCGCCGCTGTCAACAACGTCCTCTCGTACTCGAACAGCTTCGTGAATGACATTGGCTACCAGATCATACCAGATGGGCTCACCTGGGGGCCACTCCTTGGGGTTTGGCTCAACGTATGGTGACATATCGAGATTACGGGCGTCAAAAGTGACGATTGTTGGGTTGCGCTCAGAAACAAACTTGTTCTGGGAGAAGCGCTTGACGTGAAAGGCAAGAAAGGGGGGGAGAGGGTGCATGAGTCGATAACGCTTGCGTTGAGTGTGGTGTTCTTGAGCCCTCTGACCGTCATATTTCGTGAGAATGGTTGTCAGGGGAACTTGAGGGATGATGTTCTTTTCGAGTTCGTCCTGAAAGAGTGGCGCTGACGGGAGGTCCAGCGTCAGAAGGAGGAAGCGCACAATGTCCACTTTGACATCCGCATCTTCGAAGCGCAGTCGATCAGTAGCGTCGGCACGAGCTGTGATGGCCTGGGACTCAACCTTCATCTTGCCCTGAAACGTACGCTGGATCATGGAACTGCCAGGCTTTGTCTTGCTGCCGCCGAGCCCAAGGTGGAGGTTGTTCAAGAACCAGGATAGAAAATCGACAGGATCCGACTGAGTTGTGAGGGTAAAGCGCTTGTTTGAGCGCAGTGATATCTCCTGGAGAAGCTCATGAGGAGAGACGTGAGCCTTGAACGCCCTCGGATTCCAGATCTTGCGGACTAGAATGCTGCATCGCTTCACAAGCTCCGTCTTGTTCGAAAAGTCCTCGAGAAGTAGGTAGTTGCGCAATGGCGTGACATGCGCAAGAGCTTGTACTATGACGTTGAGGTAGTCATTCTCCTTGATGTTGTTCATTCCCACAAATCCAGGGATGTACACTTTTCTATCAAGGGTGTAGCTGGTACGTGGTGTGCGGTCCATCTCGATAACTTCCTTCTTACTATATCGCGGATCCGACACGTACTTAATGTCGTCGAGCGCGCGGCTCTTGACCTCGTACCCTTCAGGAAGGACATAGACACGCTGCGTTTCTAGATTTATATAGACGTGGTGATCCTCGTCAAGCGAGTGGAAGTAAGCATGAGATTTCGGACCACGACCTTGAAAATACTTTCCGCAGACAAGGCACGCGTAAACGTTTATGTTCGAAAGGGAAACGGAGCACAACTTCTCGAAGTCGAAGTCGAGCACGTTGCGATCGATAGTGTCGAGGTAAAGGTCATGGTATCCGTCAGTAGGCGCTGATTGTCTTATGGGTGCTGCGGCAGTGGGGTCTTGGTCATCCTCTCCGTTTGCATCGTCTTCTTGCGCCTTTCCACTGATATTAGACTCGTCGATGATTTCGTTCAAGGTACCGTTCGGTTCAGGTGAATCAATGTCGTCCAATCGAGATCTCTTGGAAGCTGGCGAGGCTACACCAACAAGATCGTCGAGGGCCTCGGAGGCCTGGCGCTTTGCCATTATTTATCTCAGACGTTCTAATGGATGTAGCTCGCTTCTATGTGGGTTTACAATATAATGATTATTCGCGACCTTGGCCGTGGTCGCGTTCGCGTGATCGCAATTGAGACTTGATGCCAGGGAAGAAAGATTCAAGATTCAAGTAGGGTGATTGTGGTTATTGGGTGGAGCCTTGGAGCTCATGTTCAGACCCACTCCGGCAGTGGAGGCCATCTGAATATCCCTGTCAAAACAGATCCATTGACATTTATCTAAGGTACCTAGGTACTTAGGTAAGGAAGGTAAAAGATAGTACGTCTTAGACCCATCATCGATCACAGCCAGAAGACAGGTGCAAGTAGAAAAACCACATTTTGTCTAAACCTTTGTACTCCGGAATAAGCCAGAATGACCGTACCTGATTACCTAGCCAAATGAACCAATATGAAGGAAAGAAAGCGGATGCTGGTTTTGATCTATCCTGCCATGACAACATCGTTACCCGCATCCTTGATTAGGCCATCCCCATCTTCGAGCAATGGCGCAAGGTCATCCATCTCCTGCAGGGTATATTCCACCAGATAACTCTCATCAACCAACTCCTCGGTACGCTTGTAGTGCCTCTCAGTGTAAGCACGAATGGCGTGCAACACGTCCTTCAGGCTCTTCTGTCCCCTAGCCCCTTTGACAGACAAATTCGAGAACTTGGAGGCAGGATAGCTGCGAATCAGAGTCCACAAGATTCTCTGTGCCACAGGAGCTGTGCGAGCGTTTGTATTCCAATCTCGGAGCCTCAGAAGCAGCATGAAGATCTGTTCATCGGATAGGCTACCCAGTACCTCGTCCACAGCACTTAAGCCACTCAAGCTGCCCTTATCAGGGTTGTTAGTTGTAATAACTGAAGTGAATAAGTTAAGAAGCCTTCCTGGGTGATTAAGTTGCAATGCAAGAACGATAGCCTCGCGGAATGAGCCAGCGTGTATGTGGTTCTCAAGCTCCTGTTCCTGCTCAATCAGTTTGAGAGCAGCCTGGGACGCGGCAGCTTGAGTCTCTGACGATGTGTCCTTCCAGAAAGTGACGGTTGAGTCACCGCTCCCGGACACAATAGTGTTATCCTCGGGGTGAACAGCCACAGCCCAAACACGATCCTCATGATTATCAAGTGTGCAGTCAGCTTCGCCTGAATTGACATCCCAGACCTTGACAAGGCCATCACCACCGGCGCTTGTGAACTGGACTCGCTTCCTGGACTGTTCTTGACTAGCGGGCATGTTCAACCAGGCAACTTTCAAGACACTGTTAGAATGGCCCTCGAAAGTCCTTACACAAGTATAGCTGGCAAGATTCCATAACTTGATGGTCTTGTCACCACTGCCAGTGAGAACAGCGCCCTTTCCAGTAACAGGTCCATCCTCGCCTTGAATCGCCGGCATATTGATAGGAGAGAATTGAACTGTCCAGACACCACGTCTGTGACCACGCAAGATGCCCTGAACTTCACCCTCCTCTACTGACCAAATTTTGACGGTTTTGTCTTGAGATGCGGAGGCGAAAAGTTGACCCGAGTGGTGAACATTAATGGCGTTGATGTCTTTTTCGTGAGCCTTGCGAGTGAAGATGGCCCGAGATCCACCCTTTTGACCCTTCTGCTGAGCGGTGCGGGGAATATCCCATTTCTTGACGGTCTGGTCTTGAGAACCTGTGATGAGGAATAAAGGAGGATGGTTAAGGGGGTCTGACCGAGCTGGCGAGGACTCTGGAGGTACTCCCTTGGGCAACGCAACAGCGCCCAATGATTCAGCATGACCGGAGAAAACCGCCCAGCAGATGTAGGAGTTGTTTGTTGGATCGATGCGCCAGAGACGAGCGGTGTTGTCTTTCGCTCCGGTAGCAATCCAGTGGCCTGACCAGTCGATATCCAGTGAGATGACAATTTCATCGTGGCCTTTCAGCAGAGCAACATCTTGACCAAAGTAAGGTTTTGAATTCGAATCCCAGTCGGCTTCCCCATTTTGAGCCTCAGTGACTGAGACAATCCGGATATCCTCCGAGTTTGTGGCCAAAGCAACCATCGAGCGGTCTGGAAGCAAGTATCCGAGATCGATTATGTCGTCGTGTGTGCCTGATATCCTTCGGAAGGGTTCCGGAGCTGGGAGGGGGGTGGTTTCTGTCTTTCGGGGAAGTCTATATAGTGCAAGAGTATGGTCAACCTGGACGAGAAGGATAAAAGGGAGACCAGGGCGATAAATGCCAGAGACAACGCCTTCCTCTTCACTTTTCGCAGATTGCTGGGGAGTGATTTCCTTGCCCATATCCGTATCCCAGATGCGAAGAGAACCATTGGCACCAGCGGAATAAGTCAAGCTTCCATTTTCGATAAAGCCAGCCGCTTCGACCAGTTCGAGGCAAGGAACAACTTTGCGAATCTTCCAGGATCTGGCGTCCCACCAGGTTATGGTCTTGTCTCTGCCTGCGGTAACAAGAGCGTTTTGTTCTGGGGAGTAGTCAAGACCTTGGATATCCGAGACGTGCGAGTCCAAATTGGCTACGCAACTACGCTTGTGCAGGTCCCATACACGGACCTTTCCATCTTGTTGGCCACATGACAGCCGGAAATTGACAGCGCTTGATTCCTCCTCTTCTTCATCGGGCTCTTCTTGGCGCTTGGTTTTCATTCCCTTCCCTGAATGACTGTCGATCGGCCGAGCGGCAGCTTCGAAGAACAAGAGCGCTGATACCAAAACAGAAGACCCACGGAAAGTGTGTGTAACAAAGCCACCAATGATATCCCAAACTTTGACAGCTCCATCGGTTCCTCCGGTGGCCAACAGGGTGCTGGTCCGATCAACTGCCAGGACGACGACTGGAGTAGTGTGCGCCTTCACTGTTCTTGTGAGTGTAGCGTCAATAGTTCCGTCTTCTTGCGACACTCTCAAGGTGTATATTCTCATAGACAAAGAGCGGGAGCAAATAATGAGGTGAGATCCAGAGGGCGTTACTATAATCAGTATTAGTTGCTTGCACGTTTGAGCGATCTTTGGAGACTAACAAGCAAATGTGGAAATGAGCTCTCCATCCTGGGAAAGTCAGTCACGGTCCAATGTGGTTTGCAAGTGGTCCTTACACCCTCAATTTGAGCCAAATGCTTCCCGTTTGTAGGATCTGTGAGAACTGCATCCTCACCGAGAACTGTGGCTAGAATACGTGCGCTATTGTCAATAGCTACTGAGCCCCCTGTGAATATTGGGCGTATGACGTGGTTTACGTCAAACGTGGTCTTCAACGGCTGCTTATTTGCCATTGTATTGTTGTAATTTTGAGTTAACAAATATTCGATGTAAAGAATATCATGGGTCGGCGCATGAGCCTTCCTAGTAATTTTTTTTAGGCGCCTTATCAGAGACATACATTTGATTGGCTATCGGGTGCATTAGCTCATCTACACCAGCCACAGGAAACGCCACATTCTTGTTGATCGGGTTAGCCGTCATGACTTCACTTGAACGACCGTTTCATTACAACCCAGGTGAATTCATTCAGCAGATCGTTGACACGCAGGGAGAGCTCACGCACAGAGCTTATAGGGCGAGGGCGACTTAAGCCATATCAGAAACTGCACATGAAGCGACACATGTCCGCCTTGTGTTGATGAGTGCTTACTTACCTTCATCATGGGAATGCAGGGCCCCTTAACTGCCCAAGCGCTTGTAAGGCATCCTTTAGCTCGAGCCGCCGATTGTTTCTCTCGAATCACTGACACTGTAAGGGCCGGTCTCCGTATGACGATGTTGTTGAATGGGATGATGATCATGACGAGCCACCGAATACCAACGACTCTGGCCAACAATATGACCATCGAGGCCGTCCCATCAACCCTGAAACGAAAAGATTTAATAGAGATATCATTCGTTCCCATAATGAAGTTATGCTAGTTATTGGGGTCGCTGAGCAAGAAAACCCAACTACTAATCCAGAGGCCGAGTCTGATAAACGTCATGCCATGTATGAGGATGACGTGGGCATAAACCTTGCCTTCTCCGCCCTTCGTTGCGTGGACGCTGCCGGGGCCTTTGGGCTAGATGGCTTCCGTCAGCGAGTCTTGGTATGTTGTTTGAAAACTCTTTCTGTTTTATATACTAACTAGGTGCCTTGCCATTCAGATTTACAAACGCTATTCTCACATCCCGTTTTGGGATTTGTATGCACAGTCCCGAAGTACCTTTTCTATCTCCCAAGATCTTCTGCCCGGTGCGTCTGTCAACCTTTTCAGTAATTACATCGATCGACAAATTGCTCTATTGTGGCGGAATAGGCCCGACAGGGTGATTGCTCGTCGACTGTAAGCCTTTCCCCCAAGCCAGTTATTAAACTTCACAGCTTACAAGCAATAGTGCCCATGAAGTCTGGTCATACATTCGGGTTCATCTAGAGCTATATATTGCTCTGCAACGGCTTGGCCTGGCTTCAAGCACTAACTGGCTCCCAAGCCTATCTTTCTTCGTCCCATTTACTCAAGATTCACCAATTCCGCCCCCCCCACCAGCGAAGGATCTTTCTTTCCAGTCTCTTCTACAATGGGTTGGAGGCCTGTGCATATGTTCGACGCCGTTCCTGGTCTGGGTAATGTCCCAGAGACTAATCCGTGACTGGAGACCCCGAATTTGGGCAAGAATATTTCGGTGGTTACCGAACACTGGGTCTCTCCCTGGCGTGAGTAACAGCTGGATGCAAGCCGACAGGCCTGGTGACAGATCAGAGCACCGGCGTGCTCGGAGCACAATCGATGATGTGTCGCCTATACGGCCGATCGATGGACAAATGCCCAACGACACAGGCCCAGTAGAAGCCGTTCGGCGGCCAAGTACTTTCTCAGCGCGTGGGGATGACTATGCAACTGACGAAGAAGATAATGAAGGCCTTAGTGCCACCTTGATCAGCTTTGATGTCGAAGCCACAGCTGAAACCAGCGAAGCACCTCCTGGGCTCTGGAGCGCTGAACTAAGACCAAGCGTTGAAGCAAGGGGAGCACTTATGCCTACTACCACCTACTGCGATACGATGCTGACGCAGCTGCCCCCGTTGATTGCCTCACATATCTTCACTGATGCCGTTTTGAGATTGGTGACTGCACCATGGGAAGCAACCGCTCTGCGGTTGATGGCCCACAGTCTCCGTCAACGGTTTAACCTCCCAACTCATGACGTTTGCGAAATCAATATTCTAAGTCATCTCGATTTGACATTCGCTATCAACTTTTTCTGTACTCAAGTGCTGCATTTAGCTTTATGCGGAGAGATTTGGGCAGCCTTCACGACAGTGGCCACAGTCTTACACACAACCTCTGACGAGTGGCGGGAGGCCGAAGCCGAGGAGCAGGAGAAAAGACAAGATTGGACAGATGAAAGTACTTAACCAAGGCCCGACGATTCCCATTTTGCATACCACACAGCATATGCCAGAATGCGCCTGTCCAATACGAACGACTTGACCATGAATTCTCCATGTTTATTCAACACTGTGTGGTTTCCATATCGACTTGCTTGCGTTCTTTGATGCTCTCAACCGGGGTCTTCCTGACCTATCTGAAGAACAGGCTGGGCATTGGACGGATTTCTTTGTCCCAATCGTTACCGTCAAGCCATGCAAAACGTGTGTCATAAAAAGAAAAGTTAAATGCTTGCATGAGACCTTGCGTTGCAGCCTCGGACTGGCTCAGAAACCTTAATGCATCACGGCTGTTTCAGAACAACTTCCATGCCTGACCGAAGGCCTAGGTGACTGTGGCTGAACAACCCGCCTTGTCGCGTTGCATAGTCGAGATGGGCGCAGAGGCTAAGACATCGGGAGAAGGGCGTGATACACGGATGCATTGTCAAAATAACATTGCGATCTGATGCGTTGCAAGAGGTCACATACTATCGTCCAATATGTATGTGTTGAACAGCTAGAAAATGCACAGCAATATTGTGTTAAATCCATCATACCTTTCTTGGATTAGTATCATGTCTGATTCCTTTAATCTGCTCATGTTAAGTAAAGAGTTGACGTTATAATTATCGATTGCAAAGTTATCAATATGAACCAATAAAATTGAAAATTCAAGACCAGCGCAACAAAAAACTTATGCCTAGATGGTTATTGTGAGCATTTACTTATCTGCGGATAGACTGGGAGGAATAAAGTGTAGATAAGTTCTAGAACAGGGCCAGTGAGTAATCTTAGAGGAGCTGGAAACATGACTAGAATATCAGATTATGATTCAAGGACAACTACCTAGAGATGCAATTTGTATCACTTACAAACTGGGTGCTTCTAACCGGCATAGCACTGAGCCTCAATCGTGCTCAATAGTAGAGAAGCACCAAAGCTAGCATTATAATTCATGTATATAGCCGTGTAGCTTCAGCGTCATTTCTTGCCCCTCATGGATATTAATAACCCCCACCTTGACTCTTTTTGATGATGACGTTTCAACTGCTACTTCAATATCCAAACCAGCTTCATTAGCAACCACCCGAACGTCATAACTGAAAATTCACTTCAAGAATATCAATTGTCCTGCAACTTATTGAGCAATGTCTGATCGCACTGTCCTTATCACCGGCGCTACCGGCCTCCTGGGTCGTGAGGTCGCTACAGCGTTCGGCCTCAAGAACTGGAATGTCAAAGGCACGGGCTATTCTCGCGCAGACGGAATCAATACTTTCAAGGTCAATTTAAGCAATGAGACGGAAGTGGGAGAGTTTCTGGATGAGACCAAGTATGCAGTCCCTTCCCTCTATGGATGCTGTGCCAGTAGACTGACTTTACTACCTACCTTCAGACCACAAGTTATTGTCCACTGTAAGCTGCCTGGTATGTTTCATCTGTACAGAGACTAACGAATTACACGCGAAAGGTGCTGCTCAACGGTTCCCAGACAAGGTCGATAAAGACCCGGAAGGTGCCCGTGAACTCAACGTCGCTGCGAGTAAGGCACTCGCTAAGCTGGCCGCGGATAGAGACATCTTTGTCATATATATATCAACTGACTACGTGTTCCCCGGCACGCCGGGGGATGCTCCATACGAAGCCGACTCCAAGCCTCGGCCTACCAATCTTTACGGCCAAACGAAGCTGGATGGTGAGCGGGCCGTCTTGGACACACTGAAGCAGGCTGGAAAGGAGGGCCTAGGTGTCGTTCTTCGAGTTCCTGTCCTCTATGGGAACGCTGAGACGCCAGCTGAGAGTGCGGTCAATGTTCTCATGGATGCACTATGGAAGGCACAGACACAGGGAGCTGAAATTAGCATGGACCACTGGGCAATTCGATATCCTACGAACACAGAAGACATCGGTAGGGTCTGCCACGGTATGTCTCACTCTACCTTTAGCCACCAGGTGTCAAAACAACGGTGTCATTTGAACAAGTCTTGCCCAGACTCTTTTAGGGCAAACAAGTGCGTGAGAATATACCGCTGACATTAAGCACAGATATTTCAATCAAGTATCTCGATACTCCAACTAAGGAGAGATCTTATCTTCCTCAAGTTCTCCAGTTTTCATCAGAGGATCGAATGACGAAGTATGAGATAGTGACACTATTTGGTGAGATAATGGGCCTGTCAACGGAAGGGATTAAGCCCAACACGGAAGGGAATGACCCAAATGCCAGTGTACAGCGACCTTACGACTGCCACTTGAGTACAAAGGCGCTGAAAGATCTGGGAATTGATGTTTCAACCTGCGACTTCAAAGGCTGGTGGAGACGTGAGGTTCGCGCATTTCGCAAGTAATAAGGAGCACTACCAGAAAGGATCGCTGCATTCCGGTGTGGGATATGTATTCTTAAGAGAAAAAGTTTCAGATGACACGAAGGCTTCCCTTGAGTCGTGCTTGGTGGAAAAAGGGAGGATGTCTTGGACGTAGCATAGGACTGAAGACACGACGTATGAAGAAACCGGACCCCGAAACTATCACTGCATTATTTCATTCGTTGAACTGAAGAATGGTAGAAAACGACTATAGAAAAGCCACGTCTTGGTCACGACTTTGTCAGATCATAGCAGCATCAACCCAGCACGTTTCTGTTCGCCGGGAACTCTTTCGTGGAACACCTAACATGTTTTATCCGCGGCAGAAGGTATTTTCGAATCCTGCTGGCAGCTGTAGCAGCTATAGTGCAAGGGGAGTTGTCTGTCTTGATAAATTACCTAGGTAGGTACCTACTAAATAGGCACCTGGTTAATGTGTCTTATAGAGAGCTGGCGTTCGCTCAGTCGCGTCCTTAAATACTGGAATGAATATCTAAAGGGAGCAAGTTGCACCTCGGCCCTTAAAAGCCTGGCCTCATACCAAACACTCACCTCTTGCACCTGGCCACATACCATTGCTGCAATTGAGCGGGCTTTTATTAAATTACCGAGAATTGAGCTTTGTCTAGGGATGAGTCTGGGAAAACCGGTCTGCACTTTCTCGTCCAGTCGTGTGGTGCTTGCTTCTAATATTATGGATGCTGATTCCCGCCCCCTTCGGCGCCCTCGACTTGGGTTTTCGTCGACTGCTTGTTCAAATCGCAAAAATTGTGGCCGTTGGTTGCTTTCCTTACAGCATCTCATTTGAAAAAACTTACACGATCAGCTTATTCCAAGCTCGTATTCCTATATCAGCAATCAGCATTGTTCACCCGGTGTGAACGTTTGTTGAGTTTCGGTCTCGTATTATCTGAATACGGAAGCAATCGTTTTCTGATCATCGAATTGAAGATTCATGTTCTCATGGATGCTACCAAAAGCCATCGGCTTTTCTTGTCGGTCGTTTCCTATCATTTATCAACTTCCGTGGAGTAGACGTACCTGATACGAAAACACCTAAGATCAACCCTGTCGGCGATCTTAAGCGACGACCTGCCCAATATTCTTGCAACTAACTCAGTACGGATCGATCCGAAAACCTTGTTGGACGCTTCAGGTCCTGAAAGGGTCCGATAGGGCTGCATCAGTGCTACTCAAGGGTCCATTGGCCACTGCAGGAACAAATTCGTTAGCGGCAGCACCATTAGTATGTCGTCGTCAGCGGCGGTCGCGGCTGCCTCATTGCAATTTCATGACTACTTGCAATTCCCAATCAATGATACAAAACCACCAATACCGGACTTCTCGAAATACAGAAATTTACGCGGGAAAAGTGTGTGTGCTGAACCTCGAAGAACCTTTGAGGTTTATGCCGACCCGCCATCAGAAGGAGCCCATCTTGCCGAGGGGGATTGTTACCCACGACTTGACTCACCAACATTAGTACCGCGAACTGTTCGACGCCGGTCCAGGAGTGTGACTTCGTTATTAACATTATCGCGCGAGCGAAAACTTATTGAGCCGGTGGTCCCAGCGCTGCCATCCCCCTCGGTCTCGGTTTCAGTTAGCCATCGTGGAGTCGAATTCTTGAAAGGTCTCGTGGAGAGCGTTACAGGGGTCATTGGTAGCCTCTCTCCACGAATTGCGGCCAGCGCTGATAATGACAATGGGCCCAATAGGCACCGTCAGGATTCGCTGTGTTCTGTGCCTTCGATCATTCGTTCCCCGGTTCCGTCAGTATTGGTGTCGCCGTGTGCACAAAACTTCGCTGGCGCATCAGGCAACTTAAACTTAGCCTCAGCAGAGTCTCAGACCGCGCCATCGCCCGCTGTCCCGCCCGGCCCCAGTAGCCCCCTGGCAAGTCCGTCATATGTTCTAACGCCTAAAACTACGAACATCCCACCATTCCTTTCAAACTTAGCTTCGAAACCTCTACCTCTACGATCACCAAATTTGAGTCAAGAGTTCTCCCGCAGCACTACGCATCTTACTGGCCGTGACCGCAGCCGTAGTCGAAGCCGCAGCCGCAGTCGTCCCCGGGGCCCTGACTTATTTAAACCCCTTCCACCGACTTATGCTTTTGATCTGCCAGCTCCAGAATCACCTATACTTCGTACCGTGCCGTCTGCGAGCGACATTGCCAGGTTTAAACGTCGCAATCTACACGCCTTGCGTATCAATACTGAAACTGCCGAACGCGCTGCAAAAATCGAACGAGAGGGCCTTGAGCGCGAGGAAGAACGCCTAGCCGACATAGTCGCCCGTCTTGAAGCTGAGACTGATCGTATCCTCGCCGAGCAGAAGAAACGCGACCTAGCCCGCCGCCGAGCGCAACTGCCGACTCCGTCCCCTAAATTTCCACGATTTCTTGTTCTTGACAAGTTTTCCTTTCTCTATCGTACTCGGCGATCGAATGCTTTGACAAGCCAAGCCGGCACGCCAAGCCCAGGGGCACCAACAGTCTTTTCTCTTGATCTCAGCCGGCCTACCAGTCCTGAGGAATCCTCATCACCAGGGAAAATGAGTTTCATAGAACAGGGTGGTAAAGGTATCGTGCAAGGCATTGACGCCCCAACTTCGGCGAGCAATGGAGGTGAGAGAGTAAGTTGTATTCCTAATCCTCAGGTGTGCTCATGCTAACGTGATTTTTCTCTGTAGCGTGTGTGCGTACGATGCCTGTCATCGGTCATCAATCTTCCTGTCAACACTGATACCTCTCCTGTTGATATCCTCTACTCGACCGCCAACCTGACCAGCCATGATATCGATCCCAAGACCAGCGTATTGATCGAATGCTACATTGAACTTGGTCTCGAACGGCGCCTTCGCCGTTATGAACGAATTCGTGACGTTATGAATTCTTGGGATCGTGACCAGCAGAACTCTCTTCTTGTTGTCACCAATGATATTTCACAAACCGATGACCCTGATCTCGATATGAAGTCTGTGCCACGAACCCCAACCCCTCCCCCAGGCTTCACAGTGCAAATGTACCACTCCTCCAGGCCAGGCAAATGGAACAAGCGGTGGATCACCTTGCTGGAATCCGGTCAGATGTTTGCTTCCAAGAAGCCTGATTCGAAGGCTTCGGACAAAGACAGTACTGTCCTGTGTCATTTATCAGATTTTGACATCTATACACCAAGAGAGAGTGAGGCCAGGCGTCATCTAAAGGCCCCCCGACGCTTTTGCTATGCTGTTAAGAGCCAACAGAAGACCTTCGTTTTCCCAAACGGCGAGAACTTTGTTCATTTTTTCTGCGCTGAAGACGGAAAACTTGCCAGGCGTTTTCTTGAACTTGTGCAACGTTGGCGAAGTTGGTACCTGGTCAATAAGCAGGTTGACTTCGAGAAAAAGGACAAGCCCCCGCAACTTGCCATGCACTTGGAAAACGACACAGTCCCTAAAGCCGTTTCTAGATCCAAGAGTTCTGCCGCATATAAAGGGCATAGTACGCAGGTTTCCGTGGACGAGACTCCATACACCATTGGCGCTTTCCAGCCACTTCTCGATATGGACCGCTTTGATAAACCCCTGGAGGAGTTTGGCAAAGATCTAGAACAGGACAAAACAAAACATGGTGATTCTGATACTGAGTTTAAAAGTGGACTCGTCCGGAAGGCGACCTGCAAACAGCCAAACGTATTAACAAAGTCCAAATCAATACATCAAAAGCATAGGTCACCGCCAACGGCTCGGGACGAGACGCAATTCTCTTCTACGGGGCTTTTGGGTCAAGTATACGAAGAGAAACGCAAAATAGCTGAACGGGCACCTGTCATCAGCCCCCCTCCCACAAACGCGGCTTTCACAAAAGGAGCCTCGCTCCTGGGTCAAGGGTATGAGCAAAAGCGCAAGATCTCTGAGCGAGCGCCAGTCAACAACAGTGTTCCTTCAGCGAATGCCGGTTTCACAGAGGGCCCTTCACTTCTCAACGGTGGTGTCGTCTCGCCAACGTCTCCTAATGAGAATATGGCAGATTCAAAATCATGGTTTCCTTTGGGAACAGATCAGTCTTCTCAGCCACGCTACCGTAGTCGATCTGTGCGAGATTCCAAGAGGCGTCCTACCACGTCTGAGAAGGTCCCGGATATGCCCCAGCCGCTAGTCAATCTTACCAACAGCTTCCCTGAGCCGCCTCGCTGGCGCGAGAATAAGGGCCATGGTGTAAAAGCTCCAGCCGGTGGTCCCTTGATCAGTCTCGCTACCGGGGGATCGACGAACAATTCATTCAACACTCGGAGTGCCTCTGGTCTTGTTGGGCAGTCTCGACCTCTGCCCTCTTCTTCGTCCATGACGGTTGGTAGCCGTCCTCGGAGCCGGTCCATCGCAGGAACTCAACAATCACCTAGCCATGCTCCTCCTGTTCCCCCTTTGCCAATCCGGTCGTTACGGCGAGAAAACACTGCGCCGCTCGAACAGTCTCGTGGCCGTGATCCTCGTCCGCGAGAGCCGTTGATTAATCGAGCCGGGACGATGGGCTTCTCGTCAAGGAATTAAAAAGGCCGGAGCCTTCCTTCCTTCCTTCCTTTCACAAACTATTGGTTATTGAAGATGATGTTAAAAGCTTATGCAGTTGTGTCTATCATGTCCAAAGAATAAGCGTTCTCAATCATGAGTTTGTGGCCTTTTTGACGAATCAGAATATTACCTGCGGTAGTGGTACATAGTACTGATTTGGGTGAACGGGAGTGGGAAAGTAGTGCTAGCTCGGGCAGGGACTTGCGAGTTATATTCTGGTTTTGCCGTTATGTGTTCCTTTTGGCGTTTTCCCGGAATTTTTGTTTTGCATGACTTTTTCTTGATCTTCTATATATCCTTGAGCAAGAGCAAAAGCTCGTATTGGTACAAGATGGCGGGTTCCATCTTTTCCTTGAAGAGTGGGTTCACCATACGTTTATGATATCAGCTATCTTCTCAATTTGATTACTTGGTTCATTGTG